AAAGAGAACGAAAAGACTGACATCCCCTCAAAGCTGCTCATCAACTCTTTCACTCTCACCACTCCGACATTCGACTCTGTGGGATTGATCCTCCATCCCAAGCCGGCTCTTCTAAACCACTCTTGTGAACCAAATGCGTTTGTGAGATTTGATATTCCCCCAGACACCAGCCACGAAGACTTTCCATCTTACGGGAGCATATCTGTTCGTGCCTTGAGGCCGATCGCCAGGGACGAGGAAGTGACGCTTTCATACATTGACACAACGTTTCCATTCGAGAAACGACAAGAGGAATTACGCACTCGGTATTTCTTCACCTGCACTTGTAGCTTATGCTCTCAGGGTCGGGATTGTCCTAGAGACAAATTCCACCTGGACATACCTGTCGGGGCAACGGATACAACGCAGCCGGCGATGAATGCCATTGTTGCAGAAGCTGGTGACCAGGCAGAGCAGTTCTTCACGGGCTTACAATCCCAATCAGGGGAGGAGTACACCCAGATCGACCGCATCAGACATATCATGCGCCGCCTGGCACAGACCAGGAGCTGGCCACTGCATCGCTACCCTTGGCCCCAGTTGCGCCAGCAGCTGCTCCTCGGGCTGATCGCTTCGCAAAAGTATTCCGAGGCCCTGCTCCACTCGGCAGTCCTCGCCAGACTTGTCCATCCTGTCATGTTCGAACAAGAGCATCACCCCATCCGGGTGGTGCAGCTGTGGCAATTCTGGAACCTGTGCCGCCAATGTCTGGAGTCTCTCATGCTGCGCGAGCGGTCGCCGGACGCCGTGCAGTATGAACCGCGGAGGCTTGGACTGTTGAGCTGCGTGCTGATCGACGACATTCATAGAATCATGAACGACGGGATTAGGTCGGACGGAAAACTGGAACTTCTAGTCGACGCTGCGCTTCAGAATGTTAAGGGAGAAGGTGGGTTTTGGGACGAATACCAACAAAAGAAGACGGAGACACGGAAAAAGACCCTTTTATGGGTTGACGAGCAAGTCAAAGCGTTGTTACGGTCGGAAGAGGTCGTTGAGGATATTATTGAGCTGGCTTTTACGATTTCAAGTACGGGGTACTCGGTAGTACATAGAGGATGACAAGGCTGGATCGCAAGGCTGAGCCGATGATTGTTTGGCCCCCAAGCACGAGGATTCGGGGCAGTGCAACTGAAACACCCCCGTGCTCCCCCTTAGAAGCGATCGACACAGAGCTCGGACAGCTCCATCCCGTCGCTGATCAATGCTGGTGCCTGACAGAAGCCATACATATGCGACATATTACCTCGCTTGACACATGAACCTCCAGTCATTCCCCTCGTGCTCCTGTTGTTCCAAACCTTAACACCACCGCGGTTGTCGTGATTGATATCCCGCAACTGTATACCGAGTAGAGCTTTGACTATTGTGTATGTGTGTATGTGTATGTGAACAAAACCTCACAAGATGGACTTCTCCAACGCCCAGGAAGCCGCCGAGTCCGTGTCTGGCGCGTTCTTCCGCAATGCCACGGCGGCGCGCGTCGACACGGACGCCGTCATTTTCGACACCGTCTCCAACGCGCACCCGGGCGTGCCCATCACCACGGTGCCGGAATGGAGCTGTAACCTGAGAGCCTACGCCGCGGCGGGCCACGCGACGGTCGAGGCGCTCGAGCAGAGCCGGATCGACCCCAAGATCTGGCCGGAGTCGCTGCGCTGGACCATCTTCATCCCGCCCGCGCGGCGCATGGACGGCGGCAGCGGCGTCGTCGCCGACGAAGTCTTTTTCGAAAGCTACCTCTACAGGTGGGACGGGCTGACTTTCCTCGTCTACTTCGCCGACGGGCGCGACGGGACCATGTCCTACCCGCAGGTCCGCAACCAGTATATCCTGGGCGACAAGGCCGCGGCGCGGACCCTGGTCGCCACCGTCGGCCGGTGGCAGTCGGTGCTGCACGACGAGGTCTGGGTCTTCAACCAGGGCTACTGGCGCAAGGACCCCCTTTTGTACCGCAGCATCCTGAAGTCGCGTTGGGAGGACGTCATCCTCGACCGCGAGTTCAAACGGGACCTGGTCGACACGGTGCAGCGCTTCTTCGACTCGCGCGAGGAGTACACCCACCTGGGCGTGCCCTGGAAACGTGGCGTCATCTTCTATGGACCGCCCGGGAATGGCAAGACCATCTCGATCAAGGCCACCATGCACACGCTGTACAGCCGCGAGCCGGCCGTGCCGACGCTGTATGTGAAGTCGCTGGTGGGCTTCGCCCCGCCCGAGTACAGCATCGAGGCCATCTTCCAAAAGGCCCGGCAGGAGGCCCCCTGCTACCTGGTCTTCGAGGACCTCGACAGCCTCGTCACCGACCAGGTGCGCAGCTTCTTCCTCAACGCCGTCGACGGCCTCTCCCAGAACGACGGCATCTTCATGGTCGGCAGCACGAACCACCTCGACCGCCTGGACCCGGGCATCGCCAAGCGTCCCTCCCGCTTCGACAGAAAGTATCTCTTCGACAACCCCAACCTGGCCCAGCGCGTCAAGTACTGCCACTTTTGGCAGAAGAAGCTGCGTGACAACAAGGACCTCGAGTTCCCCGACGAGATTTGCACCGCCGCGGCGAAGATCACCGCGGACTTCTCCTTTGCGTATATCCAGGAGGCGTTTATATCGGCTCTCTTGGAGATTGCGCGCGAGAAGGACGGCGATGATCACTCGGGCGAGGACGGGGTAGTGGTATCTTCATCATCTGCAAGGGATGATGCGCTGGCAGAGGACCTGCGGGAGCAGTGGGAGCTATTGGACATTGGCGGCAAAGGTCCCCGCGACGACATATCGTCTACCAAAGATTTGGATGACTATATCCTGTGGAGAAAGTTGAAGCATCAGATTGACCTGTTGAGAAAGCAGATTTCAAAGAAAGCACCCGCCGGCGCCGGTGAGGAGCGAAAAAAGCAACGACTGCTGGATGAACAACATCTCTATACATGATACAGACACACATGGGCAAGCACGTTCGGTTGCCCTTAAAAACCAGTCTTTTCCCATCACTGGAGACATGGTGCAGAGCACGGAAGTGGGAGGAGGGTTTCTCCAGAAAGAACACCAGCTTGTTTGCGCTGCTTGATTGTATTCTCTCCATCCCCCAAAAGCTTTACAGGTTGAGGCAAGTAAAAAAAAATTTGTGGACAAAGAATGGGTTGGAAGTGAATAGCAATGGAACGGATGGTTTCACGGGTCTGATTTGGACACTCGTTGCAGGGGCTTTGCGGCCTAGTTGACATGCTTATGCAGAGGATGGAGGCATGGCTGCAAGGAATATCATCGGTATAGGGTTCTTATATTGGTCTGTTTTTATGCAGATGACCCGAGAGGCCTCCCAACCATTCTCAGTGTCCAGATGAGCGGGCTCTCACGAGTAGGCCTTCTTTTCACTGCGATATTGCCCTTGCCCCGTTCATTAAGGAGTGCAGCCGCATAGGATCAAATTAACGCAGTCAGACGTGCACAATGCTCGCAGTCGTGCCATGTTCAATATGTCTGGGGCCTGGTCCAAGATGAAATTTCGGCTCTCTTGACCAACCATTCCGCCAACCCGCATGCGCAGCTCAAACGTCTCGCTACAGCTCTTGCACAGCAATTTTTCAGGGGTCCGGCCTCATGGCCCGTCTTCTCCTAGCTCCTGTCTTTGCTTCGCCTGGTGGAACTGGACCAGGTTCATGTGTAACAGTAGGTTGCCTTAAACTGGGGAGGATAGGTTGAAGGGAACGAGTGCTTGTTCCTGACCCAAGACCAATATCATGAGACAGGTGCGAGGACAGAGAGAGCAAATGTTGGTTCTGAATCTGCAACTGGTCATTTAGCACTACAATAGCATCACAAAAGTAAGCAACGGAACCAGTAAAGGTATGCTGTCAACAGTTCTCTTGAATACACCAGTTCATTACTGAGAGAGTGATCTCTGCGACCCGCGAACAGGGCCTGGTGTAGGTGTAGGTGTGGTACACGAGGCGTGAGAGAATATTTGAGTGTAGTCAGCAAGCGTATCTTGATGCTATATCTTGTAGACGTAGAGTGGACGACAATAAGCAATAGCAACTACCGCAGATGAGACATGGAGCGGAGGAATTGGAAAGTGCGTTTCGAGGAAAATGCTCGGCCGTGACTACGGAGGATCATAGATGCAGAAGCCCCTGCGGGTTTCCAAACATCTCAAGAATCGGGTATTGGTGGTTCTTCCAATCACGCCTTCGCGACCTTCGTTCAACAAAATCCGCTGTCGCACCGTCTGGTCAAAACATCATTTTCTGGTTCATCCTTCGGTTAATATTTGTAGTCTCGCATGATGTTGTCTGCTCCGTCGGCAACAATTTCAGCTGAGACGCGTGTGACGCAAAATGGATGAAATGGCGCCGACTTCGAGAAAGTCCAAAACCACTTGTATGCAATGTCGTGCTCGGAAGGTAAGCGGAGGACGGATCGCCCCAGGAGATGTGGATTTTTGACCTTCAGCGACTGAACTCATGCGACAGGTGCGTTGTGATGGGCGTCCTAACTGTTGTCGCAATTGCGAGCGCCTCAGGTTTGATTGTTCATTTCAACCAAGGGAGGCTGGTGTTGCGGGCGATTCGCCGTCAGGCGACCAATCACTGGTTCAGCTAGAGCGACGACGCGGGATTCGCGCTTGCACAGAATGTCGTTCTCAGAAAATCCGATGCGGTGGAGAATCTCCTGCTTGTTCCAATTGTCTTCGAAGGAATCGACCTTGCGTCTATCCTGCACTCAAGAGGCCGCATCGGACGCCACAGACCTCTAGTTTGCCATCACCTGCCGTGTCGCAGCGTCCCGATAATCAGCTGCAATTCCCATCTCAGCTGGATACGCGGTCCACTGAAGCTGGCCACACTCCTCTATCAAACGATGGCGCGCTTCCAGACCGCCAGGAAATCATATCGCTGGTCGAGGCTTATTTCCAGCACATATATGCCCTTCCCTGGTATGCATTTTTGCACAAACGATCGGTAATGCAAAGATGCCACGAAGGAACGATTGAAGACTGTTTGGCGTTTGCAATCTGTGCCGTAACGAGTCAGCGTCTCAAGATTGAGCCGTACGCTCGGGAAATAAGTGCCCAATGGGCCCAGAAGGCCGAAGACTTTCTCTTACAAAACTTGGAAAGCCCTTCCACTTCTCGACTCCAGGCTCTCATCTTGATTGTCCGGTATAGAGTGGAGGTAGGTCACTTCTCAAGGGCATTTATGCTTGCTGCACTAGCGGGGCGATCGGCCGTTGCGCTCAGACTGAACTACGAGCGTCCTGAATTGCGTTTCCTGGCCCAAGAAGTGCGGCGGCGACTGATGTGGTCATGTTTCGCCCTCGATGGCAACTTCTCCGTTGGTCTACGAGAATTCGAGACATGTCCACCAGAGAACGTCTTCCTCCAACTTCCATGTCCAGAAACGGCTTTCGAGCAGGATTCCCCGGTGGAAACAGCCCCGTTGAGGGCAATATCTTTCGACAGACCGGAACGCATCGGGACCTATGCTGCATGTATCAGGCTGGCGGCTATAAGAACAGACATTATGAGGTAGATTGTCAGCTGTCAGATTTCCGTTCTATGCTGACTGATACAGACTGACGCGCCGGCTTGCATCGTCATTAGTCCCCCCAGAAGAGCTCATGCACACAGTTCGGCGGTTTGAAGACGAGCTGCAGCACTTATACCGAAGCCTTGCCGACTCTGATCGCTACAACCCCAAGATCTTCTCCTACTGCGAACGACCCGCCCGAATCCTCATGGTGCACGAATGTTGGCACCAAGCATACACCGATCTGTATCGAATATTTTTGACCGGCTATAGAGAGGCCGCTCCCCCTTCGGCTATGGAAGGCATCAATCGTGAAGACATCCTCCGCAGGCGGACTCTGTGTCTGAATCACGCTTTATCAATTGTCCAGATCTTTGCAGCATTTTCAGAGCAATGTAAAGTTCTGACCATCGACTTTGACACCGCAATCTGCGCGTACCATAGCGCTCGAATTATCCTTTTTAGCGCTCAAACAGACGTTGTCACGCAAAGTCTGAGTATGCCAGCGGCTCTGGAAAAGGCCCGCTTCTGCCAATCTATCATGAACAGGTTTTTTCGTACCTCTCCTGTAGTCGAGCCGATGAAGAAAGAACTCGAGATGCTCATCGCCCGCCATTCGGCTCAGAACACCAACACTGGCATACAACTACCGCACCCCGAAGAAGTACTGGAGGACCATCTGTCAAGGCTTGCAGATGAAGCTAGGACCAGACAACGCCTGGCAATCCATAGTCTGATAGGCCGAGCAGACTTTGTTGATGACAGCAATGAGGTGACCAGTCCCGCACCCCCTCGGGACAATAGTTCCAACGGCATTTCCACCGCCTCCCTAAGATCACAACGCCAGCGTCCGCCGAGAAATACTATGACCGTCAAGCCCAACCCTCAAATCCTTCGCTCTCAGAGTGTCCCTGGCGTGCCCCAGACAGGACAATCCAAACAGCCGGATCGTGTCATCGAAGGTGGAAGCGGGGAGCCAACAAACTATGCCCTCGAAGACCAGGGCCAATGGCTGGACGGCATGCGCCTCGCCTTCAATCCGTGGATGGGATGGCCCGAGACATTGGAAACATATGGATTTTCTCAAGATTTAGACGACGAATACTTCTAGCCAATATTTTTACCCAGATCTAATTCCACGACAAACGACGCCGGCTTGCTCATCATGTCATTCAGATCAACCTGCGCCTCCGCTAACATGAACGTGAACACATGTTCTTGCATGGCTATCAGCTCGATGCAAAGTCATAGCAACTTTATGACACTCAGACGATGCTTCTGGACTCTTGTGACTTCTCTGCTTTGTTGAGCAAGAACATGAATGTCACTATGAGTTTACCGATTGCTGAAAACAAAACCGAGGTCGCTGGACCAAGACTCCGATATATGCCTGCGCCAAAGAAAGCCCCGGCCACAATGGCCACCAGAAAACTCGCTCGACGGTTCCGAGGGCGATTCTTTGCTGTAAGCAGACGAGGGTCGATTAGCAGATCAATCCACGCTGCCGTCGCCATTGCTGTGGTGATTTCTGTGATCGCCAATGCTCTTGATATGACGACCTGACTCCCGGCCGCGAAGGCCAGGAGGCCGATAATCACCATGGTTTTGGTGCCTTGCAGCTCAATACCATAGGTGTATTGAATTGCAGCCGCGATGAAGACAAGTATAGTCTGGATCAAATTGCAAAATACGATCCAAAGACGAGACCGTGCCCCAATGATGTGACCCAGTTGACCAGTTAGCCACCCTGCGGCCAGAAAAAAACCCAAAGCAATCCCAATGTTTTCTGTGATGAACAGTTCGCCAGCCACGTCCGGAAGGAGGATGGCCATTGCTAGCATGACTGTGTTGCCCGTCTGGTTCGAAGCAAAGCAATGGTAGTCTGGGAAGGTCGTCGCGTCTTGCATTCCGGTGCAGAAAGTGAGAATTAGGAGTTCCGTCTCGGCGAGAATGTTGACTTCGATGTGGCTTGTCAAATGTTGTTTTAAGCGCCTCACGGCTGATTTTTGTTGCGGTTCTTTGACTGCGAGGTTGACCTGCGCGGCATGGTCCTGCTCTTTCGCCTCGCTCGAGACGCTACTACTCTGGTTCATGGAAGCCATTGCTGGGATTTAGCAAGCTAAGCAGGTGGCTAGGGGGGAGATCAACAACTTGTGAATCAGGTCTTCAAAGGGTTGCCGGCAACAGCAAGAACAGCAACAGCGGAAGCAGAAGATGAAAGAGTTTGTTTCTCAGAAGCAGACAAAGAACCCGAACCCGCCAGTATTTGTGGAAACCACACACCGGTATTCCAAACGCTCGGAATACCACCTTGCTGGCTCGCCCCTCCTTACGCTGCCATCGCCCCGTCATCCTGCGATGCTTCGGGTGTCCGAGTCGGAACGTATATGTGACCAGGATACTGTCATTTACACAACAATTACACATCGAGCATGAGACGATACAAGAGCCTTGCGCTGTGGACGAATCGCATACACGTCCGACTTCCGTCCCGAGAAGCGGCATTGCTACAGATACCTCGATTGTCGGACTACACAGTTGTTAGCAAGTCACCCAGCGCCCGTCCGACTCCCGGACTGTCCACCGATTGCCGTAGCCTTATTTCCGATTGACCTCATTTCTACAAGAATCGTGGTTCGACTGTACTCATGGTCGGATCGCCGGATGTTTGGAGCATTCATGAGGGCCTGTTTCTCGATCGCCATACCTTGGCATTCAACTCAGCAGAGACAATTTTGGAGTCAAAGAAACAATAGTTGTCGGTCACAGTCTCAACACCCATCAAAGAAAAGCAAATACCATCAGCGGCAGTGGCACGATATCAGTACCCCCACTCGAGGTGGTTTTACAAGACACAACTCAGGCAAGGACTATAGTCGAGTCCAGTCTGGAGCATTGACCGCCCATTCAAGTGTGCAAGTCCATCCGCGACATTCCCACTGCCGAGAGAAACTTGGGCGACTCACTTACTGGCTCCACGTACCATAATTCTTCACTTCGACGTAATGGATGGTTCGGATGTGCTTCCGGATTTCCTTGATCGGATCATCAGGCTGCTTGCTAAACAGTGAAACACCAATCTGTTCGCAGGGCAAGCATTGCATGAGTAACCGCAATTCCTGCCTCGGAAGCAGAACGAATGCATCCTAGAAGACACAGAACGGCATAAAGCCGATGTAGAGAAGCGGTCCCCTCACCGTTGTCTTGCTGGGGTGGACCAGAAGTCCACGGTCGCAGCTCCATTCCTGCAGGAAGGTTAGGGCGGTGCTTCAGCCCAATCTTCTTGGGCCACTGAGACGTTGAAGAAGGCAAAACTTCTGAGAATGTCTGAACCAGGCCAAGATCTTACGGACTACAACCTTTGAGGTGCCTCTGCAGGATAACGAGCTACAGGGAAGAGTTGGTTATCGTGGTTTCTTGAAGCCTTAGAAGTCGACTCGCATTCAGAATTGCTCACCACATGGTTAGGAATCTGATGGCTTCGTGAACATACACACAAACACACACCGGGTTTTGTGTCTCAAAAAGACTGCTGAATGGACCCGGTCGGAGCATTCTGGAATCCGCAGCATTCAGTCTTCTTCCTGGAGCAGAGCCCCCTTCTAAGCATAGAACTCGGCTGTCGGGGTTTCTGTGTCGGCTGTCGCTGTGACCGGCTGGACGGATTACGGTGGACACAACAACCTCTTACGAGTAAGTCGCCGTTGGAAACCAAGAAAAATTGGCGATGTCGTACCCACTCAACACTCCAGACGTGAGCAATGACAAGACTGAGTCATTTGACGCGCGGGCTTTTCATCGAGGTCCAAAGGCTGCATCCCAAAGGGGGTGGGACTTTTCTCCCTGATATGGTAGCCCCGTCGACCCCTAGCCTTCGTCATTCCCCGAGTGCCCGCCACCAGTCGCCGCGAAGCGTGGCAAACCAGCCTCGATCCAACATGACCTCGTTTTGACAGTGTAATGACAAGTGAAAACCTATGGGTCACGGCGCCAGAGTTCCCTTGGCTAACAAGCCATGTTGGGCCGACCAAGACCGACAACTGTGGGCGATTATTGCCTTTGAACAAACGTCGCGTGAGCAACAACGAAAAAGGTCCTTCGGCGTCCACTTTGAGACCAAGACTTTTTGTACGCTCTCTCCCTTCTTGCTCATGTTGGGAGACATTTGTCTCCACGCACGGGGAATCAATCGATTTGTTTTGGCTTTTGCAAAATCTGGCATGCTGTTGCCGCTGAGCCAGAATGGGGTTTTTTTTCCCTTTCTGCCTGCCTACATTTTGTTTTGTTGTCCGTGGTTAGACCCCCGGAGCCCAGATCCTCTCACTGCGCCCCCCTCCCTCTTCTTTCACGGAGTGGTACTATGAGCACAGACACATACCCGGTACAAGTACATACATACGTACAAACATGCACACACACATATGTATAGAGCGATTGCTTTGCTTAGTTTTTTTTGGCCGTTTATTTTTTCCCCCACACAAGCGAAATCGGAACTCGGAACTTGAAAGGAGCATGGAGCATATGGAGCATGATGGATGGATGGATGGGTGGATTTATACAACCCACCGAATGACGAGGATCAGGCTCACAACTCAGGGGAAAGAGAGGGAAGATAAGAAAGGAAGAACAGGACTTGATTCAGCGCTATTTTGGTACGTTATATGCTCAAACTGGGAGTTGTCCATTGCTGGGAACTTGAGACTCCGGACATTATTTCATCCATCATGACACGGTATGGATACAAGTATGACGAGCGTGGTGGCGTTAACGGTGTGTACATACTACTTCAATGGACATTTAGCTTGACATACCCAGTTGGTATCCGAAGGGTCGAGCTAGGAGAGATGGAAAGGAAATAGGTGGACATTGAATCATCGTACATACATAGTCTGTTCTCTCGCTGGGGAGTCAATCACATATGTTTCGTTCATTCTGTATATTTGCACATTCCCCGTGCACGCGCCAGAGAGGGTCAATGCAACGACTTGAACTCGGGTTTGATGTGCGTGTCACTCATCTCGGTGCTCTTGTTGGTCATCATTGCGATGCCGCGCTTGTGCTGCTGCAACTGTCTAATGCCCTCTTCCACGGAATCCTCAACCACGTAGCGCGTAACATGCACGGCTTTTCGCTGGCCAATGCGGATGGTGCGGCCGATTGCCTGGGCTTCGACGCTGGGGTTCCATTGCGGCTCGACAAGGAAGACACGGCTTGCGGCAATGATGTTCAGGCCGAAGGCGCCCACGCCCGTGGTCATGATCAGCACGGGGATGCACGGGTCGGTCTCAAAGCGCGTGAGCATGTTCTGACGGTGCTTGAATGAGTGCTCGCCATCAACCCGCTGGAACGGAATCCCCCACCATTGCAGGTGATGGCCGATCAGGTCCAGCGTCGTTGTCCAGCACGAGAAGACGATGCTCTTGTCACCCGCAGCTGCGGCACTTCTGAGGTCCTTGGTCAGAGCAATCATCTTGGAAGAGTGGCCTGTGGAGCGGAGGTTGCCTTGGTGCAGCTGGGACTGGGAGATCTCTCCCACCGCGGGTCGTTGATAACCAAGAGGTCGAAGCGTCGCCTCGCACACTGGACAATCGTCACCTGTGCCTTCTTTGCACTCAGAGCACAGTACATGTGCACAGACATTGGACAGGCTGGAAGCCCGGTTCGAGAGGACAGCGTACACTGTTTGTTCGCACGCTGAACACTTGACCTCGCCGTCGTTGCCTGCAGAGCTTAGAGCATCTTCTCGAGCATCCCGAATGTTCCTGCTTTTAACCCAATGGAACTGATGTTGGAAAGTGCCATGATTGCAGAGAAGGCGTAGTTGCAGTTGCATTTGAAACAAGCTGAATCTGGTTCGGCTCTCGGGCAGCCCGACGAGCTGCTGCAATGCCCGTTTCATGTCCTCTCTTGTCTTCTTATACTGTGCTCGCTCTTCAGGGGATAACTGAATTCTGCTGATCGTCTCTATAGGCATAGCCAGCTTCAGATGATCCTTTGGACGTCTGATGCCAACCGAGTCGAAGAGTTGGACAAGATTCCGTTGGCCCTGCTGGCGCTGAATCCCCCCTTCGTGCCATGGGACCGTGATGAATTTGCGGAAGACTCCCGGTCTATCGAATGGGAATATCTTGATGAAGGCGAAGAGGGAGCCAATATCATCTAGAGTGTTTTGTATAGGCGTGCCCGTCACACACCAACGAAACTTTGCGTTAAGTCCAGCGACTCCCTTGTGTAGAAAAGTAGTATTTCTCCGAATAAAGTGTGCCTCGTCCAAAACAATGCGATACCAAATCACCTCTGTGGCAGGATTCGTTCTGCGATTGTCCGCGACGATTGTATGGTAAGTTGTCAAGACAATGTCATAGTCGGCCACGACTCGAGGATCGCTGGTTCTCGCACTGCCGTGATATTTCAGGACTCTCAATGGCAAATTGACGCGTTTCCGAATCTCATCTTCCCAAGTAGCCAGCAACAACGGAGATGGCACAACGACCAATGTCGCTCTCGAAAGGATTTTGGTCGGGATGATCTCTTCTGCGGTGTGGACGTCCGGGTCGTTGGACCATTTTCTTGCCTCCTCCAGCGTCCGAACTATTAGTGCTAGAATCGAATAGGTCTTGCCCATGCCCATTTCATCGGCTAAAATACCGCCACCAGCTTCCACCGGCTCTGTCCGAGATTCTATGCCTGTAATTTTGTGCCGATACCTGTGCTCTGACCCATCCCACGTAGCTTCCCATAGCTGAAATTCTTCTGGAATGGGGCCTGTCTCTCGTTGAATCATAAAGTCTAGAGCCTTTTCCTGGTGCTGTAGAAGTGGGGTGAGAAGGTGAGCATCACCAGCTAAGCCTTGGAGGTGCTGATTACGCGTCAGCATCGAGTACATCTGTTCGACCGAATCATGAAAGTCCGAGGCTCTAGGGGTATGTTCCAACTGGTAGGGAATATTCAGCTCACTTTGCTGGTGAGTGCCGAACTTCAAGACGTGCGGATTGTCATATGTCGAGCCCGGGCTCAGCCAGTCAGGTCGTTGTAGCCATATATTTTTCGCAGAAAAGTCACTACCAATAGAGCTTTGTAACTCTTCAGTCCCATATACGTTGATGTTGATAGTTGTAAGCGCGTCTCTCGCTCTTGTGGCGGCCCCAATGTCTCTGAATGAGTCAGTCCTGTCGCGCAAATTTGAGGCACAGCACGAAGACAGCGATGCCAAAATAGCTGGAGGATAGGAAATGGAGGTAGTCAAGAAAGAAAGCCGTTGCCACTCAGTTACAAGACTACGAATGCATTTCAGATGCGCTTATGTGGGGGACTTACTCGAGTATCGTCCTTCGGTGGGCCAGGGCCTCAAGATGGATCTTTCGGGCTTTTACGTGGCCCGCCAATGCCTCAGTCAAGTGGAGGTTGAGTCTTGCAATTCGCATACTACCTGGGATGCAGATGAAAAGCTCATCATCGATGCACACGATTTCCAGGATAAAATGCGTCCGAGCCTGAGTCGCGTTCTCCCTTAGACATTGCGATACTTCAGACATGTTCCCTTGAAGCTGAGCATTTGCGCGGTAAATCTGCATGCAGGAATATCAGCCACAGGCGTCGAGAGGGAGTCTTCCTCGGGCTTTAGAGAGGTGATGTGTGGAGCGCAGGCAATCACTGACCATGCCATAGCATCGATTGAAACCATCTTGTAGGGGACCGACGGCGTCTCCTCGGTCTATGCGCAACTGATCCGAATCGTCAAAGGGAGCAATCCCCAGATCCTTTGCGACCCAAGATTCGATATCGTCCTGCACATCGTGGATAGCCGGAAAGATGTTATTTGTGTTGCCTCCTTCGACATTGTCAACGTTGTAATCGGGGTGGCCGGTATTGCCAATAAGCTCGTTCCAGACATGGTTCCAGTGACCAGCACCAACAACATCAAGAGGTAATTCGGAGCCCCCGTCGAGGCCTTGTGGGTGCTGGGAGAAATGCGGCGGAAATGAGAAGGGCACGAAGGGGTCGAGGGAATCTCCGGTACGTTTGAATGATGTCATAATGTAGGAGCCGCAGTGGGTGTCTTGGATGGAACTTTTTGCGGACTATCGCAGTAACAGTGGTTGGTATTAGTATCATTGTCTCTTGAGTGATGATACACCTGATTCAAGACCTCCATACGACGAAAAAGCTAGTCATATCAGCCCAAAGAGAAAGCCTCGAGGATGCCACGCTGCTGCCCAAGTCAGCCTCACAGAAGGCATCCGCACTCCGCCTGCAAGCCACTGCGCCCGCGCCTGCGCCCGCGCCTGCACATGCCTCGCTCTCAACCCTTGACCTGATCGTGCCACCTGTCCAATATGCTCTAAAATTATGGAAACTCCCTCCGAGAACGTGAGAACGTTCTGATGCTGCCCCGACTGTGATCGACGCAGCGATCTTCCGAAACTTTAAGCGTCCTGAAGACATACTGCATCTGATTGCGACGGATTCGGGGTGTTGACGAGAAAAACGAGCCATCAAAGTTCGGTTGACTTGGTCAATGACTTGGTTTTCTATGTGCCGCTGATGTGCAATGGCTGCAACAACACAAGGCTCCTCAACTGCTCCTCATGCTTTCCAAGTCGAGCTGACAAAGTTCAAAAGTCGTTTGACCGGGAAGCAGTTGCAAAGCTTCCGGTGCACATCTCTGAAGGACGTCGAGGATGCGGTCAATGAGATTCAGAGACGTCAAGACACACAGCGAGGACTACGTAACTTGACTCGAATTCGGCGCTTCATAGAGGCGATGCAGCAGTTTGGCAAGATCATCGAAGTCTTCGTCAATACTAATGATGTCCTTGCCTTTGTTTGGGGACCCTTGAAGTTCCTCCTCCTCGTCTCGAGCACCTCGGCGGATTGCCTCGACAAGATTTTGGACGCCTACGAGCAAATCGGTGAATTATTACCCCTGCTCCAGCAGTACGAGTCGCTTTTTCAACAGCATCCAGAGATGCAAAAGGTTCTTGCCATGATGTACAAGGACATTCTTGAATTTCATCTGCCCGCAATTCGTGTCCTCGACCGGTCAGGTGAGCAACAGTGCGCAATCATCGTTTCTCTCTTCCTGACTTCCCTTGAGGTTGGAAACATCTTTTTCGATCTGCATGGGGTGACTTCAATACAAAGTTTGAAGGAATTCTCCGGAATCTCAATCGGCATGGACAATTGATTGAATCACAATTCAACCTGCTCCAGGCTCGTCAACACGAAGCACACCAAACAGAGGTACTCAGGGCAATCCTGGATGTCGAGCAGGAGGTGCGCCTCGCACGAGAATTACTCGAAAAGGAAGAAAAAATCCGTAAACAGGAGCAGTTGTCTGCAGTACGAGTCTGGATAGGGGGAAATACCACTTGCGACTCGCATGAGTCAGCTATAAGAGCCCGCGAAGGGTATGCTCAGACGGGATTGTGGATCACACAGAAGGAAAAGGTTTCCAGCTGGCTCGCAGACGACCTTCCCCGGTCCTCAATACTATGGATGCACGGCATTCCAGGCGCAGGTAAAGAAAGTACCGCTCCGGATAATATTCGACTGAATTGGTTTAGGGAAAACAATATTGGCGTCGATCATCATTCAAGCTTGCCTTGAAGCTTGCGTGAGACAAAATCAACACAGAGCAGCATACTTTTACTGTAGACGTGATGACGTTACAACAACCACTTGTGCCGGGATTTTGAAGGGTCTTCTCGCCCAACAATTGTATTGGTATAGGGGTGATGATGTCGAATCTGATGTCATACCTGATCTCGTACCCTTTTTTGATGTGGAAAGGCGGAAAAGCTGCGAACCTGTCCTGTCTTCTGATCAGATCACAAAGAAGTTGTTTAGAACCGTCTCTGGAGAGGGCCAGCGCCAATACATAGTCGTTGATGGTTTGGACGAATGCCGACCAGAGGAACGGAGGTCGCTACTCCCGTTTCTTACTTCTTTGGTCAAAGGAGTTGACGATCGGGAGCCATCAAAGCTGCGTGTTCTCATAATCAGTCAAGAAGAGCCCGATATCAGGGGATTATTATCCTCCGCGGAGGAGTTTACTATCACACGCGATGACAACAGCCAGGACATTCGTGCCTTTGTGCAAGCATGGACAGTCAAGATTCAGGAGAAGTTTGGACTTGGCGACCAAGCATCGTCTCTGTTGGCTCAGCACACATGCGGTAATGCAGCTGGTATGCGTACTCTGTTTCCGAAGGCGCGGACTTGCTAATTTTCTAAAGGTCAGTTCTTGTTCGCCAAACTGGTTATGGAAAACCTCCATCAGCAACTCGACCTTCGCGGTCTTCAGCGTGAACTTGAAACCGAGCGTTTCCCAAAGGAGTTGGCAGAAGCGTGAGTATGGCTGGTTCCACTTCTGTGGCCGATACCCCTGGAATGCTCGTCTTTGGTTGCACCCATCTATACACTGTGTGAGTGTTTTGTGACTGCGCTGACGTTGGAACTCTTGGTAGGTATGATCGAATTATTGAACGCATTAAGAAACGGCATGGAGGGGTTGAACAATCATGGCGCAAAATACAAGAATTTTTAGGGTGGATGATTTGTGCCACTCGACCACTCAAGTGGCACGAAATTCAGGGTGCAATGTCAATATGTCCTAACGAACAGCGAGTAGACCCTTGGACATGTCAGTTGCGGGTAACCGCCCACGAATTGTGCGCACCTTTGGTGACGGTGAGCGGAGGCCGTGTAGTTCTCGTGCATGGCACGGCCGAGAGGTACGTACTATAGTACTACTTTGCTTTTGGGGATGAACTAATCCTCGTCAAGATATATTACGCAGTCAGGTCACATCGATCTTCTGGCCATGGAATGCAGGCTGGCGAGCTTATGCTTGGGATACCTCGCTCACCCTTTGTTTGACGGAGCCGTTCTGGAGGAAGACGTACTCGACGGATCGTATGCCTTTGCGGACTATGCAGTTGCGAGATGGATGAACCATTTTGATACGATACTCGCTCGATTGGCGGCAGTGAGTGACATCCAATTCGATACACACCAGACTGAGGTGCAAGAGCTCTGGGAAGCAGCGGAGAGCATGCTACGGGCCATAGGGGAGCGTAAAGACGACCTTAAAATCAACCTTCCGCAGGCCAGAGCGTCGCAGTTGCAAGACAGCCTGGGGCCTGCTATCTGTCGCCGACTCACAAACTTTGAGGGCGCCGCAGATGGATTTCAGTCTCTTTGGACTCACACGGTACTGTATCGGAGCAAGGACGCTGATAAGCGTAGCGAAATCAGCCTGGAAGGGCTTCGAAACGCGATGGGCGGCATCCGCAGGTCACTGGAGGAGCTCTTTACGAACAGAGACTTGAGTGCTGAAACTCTCGAGAGGTTAAAATCACATTACGGCTCCAAGTGTTTCCGATGCCCGAAGGTCACCTGCTTCTACTTTCACGAAGGGTTTACTGACGCAAAAACACGAGACAGACATGTTCGCAGACACGAGCGGCCATTTCAGTGTGTTGTGGTAGACTGCGACGTGTCGGACGTTGGATTTGGATCTAAGAAGGACCTTGAGAACCACATGCAGAGCTTCCATCCAAACACCGAGATCAAAGCTCAGCTCTTCAAGGAAATACAGACACCGAGACCCGGCCATGCGAGGTTTGGCTGCGAAAGGTGCGGGAAGAGCTTTGTCCGTGCGTCGATATTAGAAGACCATGAACGAGCGCACAGAGACCAAAGGGACTACATGTGCGCGCGTTGTGGCAAGAGGTTTGTGAGGAAAAACGATTGCAGGAGACATGAGAAGATGCACGAGAACCGACCATGAGATGAGGGAGAGGAGCACCTGTTCGTTCAGGGATGGGGTTACTCTTCATTTTGATGCATTAGGTTAGATTCACGATTCGCTTGAATACAAGCAGATGGTAATGATGCTCACCAACCAGTTTGTCCGTACCTCGTACCCTCTGGAGCCTTGATCAATAACACCGAGTGTTTACCGAGAACACTGCGCGAGACAACCGTTCCAAGTGCTACTGCCGCAGTGGCAATGCACTTTTAGCGTCCCTACTGGAGTGTTGCCTGAGCCTGGGACTGGGGAACACCTAGCACGGGGGTTCCAACTTGTTATAACACGTGGCCCTCGCTGTGAGGGTGGTCTTTCTAACCCATTTCATGCTATTGGGTTTTGGGCATCCATGAGTGCCTGAGTGCCTATTAGTTGACGAGGCGTCTTTGATGTACAGCAGTACTGCACCATAGGGGAAAGAGCGAGAACTAGGTTCCCATCATAACTATACCATATGCTTTGATATACTTGACATTGTACTTTGTGTTTCCTTTTAGCCCTTGACTCCTAGTCATGACATAGTGTGTACCGAGTAGATATCAGATCACTCTACTAGGGAGATTGTGCAGATATGTAGGAAACGGGTAATCAGGCTAAAGAAGCAGGGAAGGAAACAAAGCACGAGAACGAAGACACAAGGGATCTTAATGGTGGCTGGCTATTGGCCATGCAGAATAAAATTGACATAGAAAGTCTCAATATCTAAAATTTCCAACGAAGGTGCAACGTAACAATCGAATGCGCGTGTATTAGTTAATCTGTTCTACGCGAACATGAATGGTGTCGTGCTCCAGGGGTGAGAAAATGAATATGCATAAATGGTATCGTGATCCAGATGTGAGAATATGAATATGCATAAATGGTATCGTGATCCAGGTGTGAGAATATGAATATGCATAAATGGTATCGTGATTCAGGGGTGAGAAAATGAATATGCATAAATGGCAAGAGGTTGTTAAATACCTGTGCACACGGAAGTACCTCTGCTCTTGAGCCCTTTGCCTCGTTGTTGGGATCGGAGCGAAGGCGGTCAGGAAACAAGGAAACGAGGCCACACTGGCCCACGGAGTTGTGCAGACTCTCAACTGCCTTAATGACGTCTGGATCGTGTTGATCTATCTCTGGCTAAATAAGAAGAGAGAGGGGGGAGAGGTGCGCTACATGGTATAGAAGAAGGTAGGCAGGCCATCCTAATAGGGAAGGTCGCGCTAGGTACGTCATGTGACCATGATATGAGGAGGAAAGTAGGTCTTCAGCAGGTAGCTCGGGCCTTACCAGGTTATATACCTTTGATCCTCTCACTGCAAATTTAGCGTCCTGGAGCTCCTGCAAGCGAGTACGAGGTGCAGGACAGAGACGGTGGAGGCCTATCACGTCCGCATAAACGATGACAAAGCCAAGACGCTAAAGCGTGGTGGCGGCTCGGCGGTTTGAAAATATGTGGGGCGGCGCGTGCCGCTGTATCTGGCCCCCACAGCCACACCGAACCACCTGCGCACTGCGCTAAGCTTGATTGATCACATCATTCAACATCTTCGATTGGGCACCGAGTTAATCAGATCTTTCCGTAGATCCTGCACTCTGACCTTCCTTGCTCTGTCCGGTGTCCAATGGACATCTCTCAACAAGAGAATGCCAATGGTTGCCTCGACCAATTCTGCGACTCGCAATTCTGCCAATTGCTGGCCGGGCTGCAATTCAAGCAGAACTCCGACGCATTCGACGTCCTCGGTCAAGCTCTGCGCCAGCGATTCCCCCATGTGGTGTCATTCTATGAGCTGGAGATAGGATTGTTCCAAACAATTGCAGCCAGAGAGCATTGCCCGTCGTGCAGATTCAGTCTCGCCATCCTCGAAAGCTGCCCTCGGGACAGAGGGCCTCCGGACACGATATACTTTGCATCGTTTCCCAGAGGGCACTTCCGGTTCAACCTTGCCTATCACAAGCCTAATGGCCGAACCCACTACCTGATGAGCAAGTTCGGGGAACAGATCACATTCCTCACGAACCATCGTATCCATGTTCCCGAGGCGGGAAGACTCGTGGACCTCAAAGGTGTTGATTACCAACGCATGAAATCCTGGCTTGCACTCTGCGAGCAGTTTCACGATGTCTGCCCGTACACAGCAACTGGGAAGAGCCCGCATCGCCAGAATCTTCTCCCTCATCTCCGCGTTGTCGACGTCCAGGAAATGTGTCTAACGGACATTCCATGGGCGGAGAAGTATGTCGCCTTAAGCTATGTGTGGGGAGGGGCAAGTCCTCCTCGCCTTCTGAAAGATGAGCTGGACATGTGGACGGTTCCCAATTCTATGCAAACTCGGGCATATACGTTTCCCCAGACCATCCGCGACTCCATGGAGGTGGTCAAGAGGCTCGGCTTGCGGTATTTCTGGTTCGACTCACTGTGTCTGTTGCAGGATGACCTCGATGACCTTCGGAAAAACATCAGCAACATGGACATGATCTATGAGAGGGCATATGTGACTATTGTGGCTGCTAACAGTCCCAGTGCGGATGGGGGGTTGCCGGGTGTTGGAAGGCCACGCACCCCGAACCAGATGGTACATTACATAAAGCCCGATATCAGTCTGATCAGCGTGGCGCCCCTGGACGCCCACCTGAAATCAGCGGTGTGGTCGACGCGCGGTTGGACGTATGAGTAGTCTTTTGATTTCCCCCCAGTACAAGCAACCTCCTGTCTAGGCCTTCTGCTAACAATCGTCGACGCAGGCTCCAAGAACAGCATCTCTCGCGCCGAACAATGAATTTTGTCAATGGCCAAGTCTATTTCCGCTGTCGGGAGCGCATCTGGTCCGAAGAGCTGTGTCGCGACGCGGCGCCTCAGACCCGGAATCCCCTTGAATGGGGTACCAACTACATCGCCCTGGCACGACAAGGCATGGATGAGATGGAGTATCTCTTGGAACCATACGACTTCCTCTTCAGCGCCCTGGAGGAGTTCCAAAAGCGCAACATTACCCTGGATGGTGACGCACTCAATGCCATGTCTGGGTTCCTCCAGCGTGTAGCCGACGCCGGTAAGACGGGCATGATCGAAGGCCTTCCCGTCAAGCTCCTCCCCGTAGCCATGATTTTTCGGAATCGTGCAGACAATCCAGCGCTGTCTTCGGACGTGCGGCGTAGGTCGGAGTTTCCGAGCTGGTCGTGGGCAGGCTGGCGGGCACCATCGTTTTGGGACTTTTGGAAAGAGATAGAGATCACGGAAGGCGAGGATGATATCCTCGACTGGCTCTCCAGAGCCAACTGGATCACCTGGTCCGTGTCTAGGCCGGGTAGTGAGCCTGAGGTGGTTCATGATCCGTCCACAATTAGACACCAGTTTGACATGAACGACGAAGGGAATGCGAATGCAGAAGGCAAACTCAAAACCATGGAAGCACATGAAGAGATTCATCAAAGAAATCGCGCATTCGATCATGTCCCGTGGGCTACACGAGACCCCTTGGGAATACCGTCGAATATACCATACACCCTCTTGACTTTTCAGACGGTCGTTATCCGCATGGCCATTGCTGCTCCTGCGCCAGATTCAGGTTCTTACTGCGAGCTTTCCATCCTGGACAGCACCGGGTCGATATGTGGAGAAGTCATTCCGGACTTCCTCCCCAAGTTTGAAGGTACAAGGAGCCGTGCTGTCACCGATGCTGGAGCTGACACTACATCTGACGCAGACATAGACGAAGAGCTACATGCCGGGGAAAGAACACCTTCACCCTTTCCGAAGGATTCCCTGTTTGAATTCCTCGTCCTCGCCGAACGCCACCACAAACCAAACCTCAACGCCGCCGCTCCTGGAGACGATGACTACGACGACGCCTTTGTGAATCTGGTGGAGAATGTCTCCTACTGGGTCATCATGGTCGAGTACCTGCCGGAGAAGGCGGTCTATGAGCGACGAGGCATCGGCCATGTGCTGAAGGCTTCGGTGCTGGACGGGAAGACGTTTGCGCCCGGACCTGAGTGGAGGGAGATTGTGCTGGGTTGAATGAACGTGATGGAAAGAGTCTAGGTTGGTTGGCCTGGAGACAAAGTTGGGAATGAGATTGAGTTTTTGTGGAATGGAGGCCATTGTTCTGTGCTGTGCTGTGTGGTGGAAGGACGGCATGACAGATGGATAAGATATATCTACTCCTTGAGCTGCAAAGGACTGAGTAGTGACTGCGGGTGCACACATTGCAAGTCAGGAGCACCTCGTGTTTGACTTGAATGATCTTGACGATGTTGATGAGGTCAACGAAGGACATGAGCATGATCAAGCATGATGAATGATGAATGATGAATGATACAGTGCTGCTATCCTCATTGCCTCGTCTCATGCATTCTTCATTCGTGTATGTTCCTAGTCAACGAGAGGGATCCGACGACGAGGTTTTATGATTAAGTACAAAGTAACTAAGTAATTGGTCCTGTTTTCCCCTTTTTCGAGTTTTGGGGCAAGCAAGAAAGGAAAGGAAAGTCCTATACCACGACCACGACCACGACCATGACGACCATTGCCATTGCCATCGCCATCATATCCGTTGCCCATCACCACCAACGCCGTTCCATACCTTGCCATATCACGCCCATACCAGGCTGAGCCAAGCCATATATATGTATTTATACAGCAGATGGGTGATAGGAATAACAAAGCCGTTTGTCCCTCCCATGTTTTTATTCTTTGTTCCGACCAAGTCCATGTTTTCAATCGCAATATCCAATCCTAATCCCAAGACCAGTCCCCCCAACTCCATGGCCAAATCCAACCGAACCCAACTAGAAAAGACTAACCGAACCTAACAAAAAAGAACCAAGAAACCCGCCCCCCCCCCCCCCCCCCCCACCAAAAAAGATAAAGAGGATGATGGCGTGGGGGGAGGAAAGATTAGCTAGCCAGTAAACCTACTCCGCGCCCGCAGCCTCGCGCCGTAAAAGTACAGGCCGTACATGCCAAAGATGCCCACGACAGACAGGCCCGCGACGAGGGAGACGCCCCGATCGATGCCGAGGCGTGAGTACATCTGGCGCGAGAACTGGACGAAGGCGGCAGCTAGCAGCGAGCGGGCGCAGTCGTTTGCGGCGAACAGGCTGGCGACGTGGCGCGGGTAGGACAGCGGGACGTAGCAGATCAGGGCCTGGAAGATGAAGAAGGTCGAGAAGGCGAAGATGGCGATGCCCAGCGTCGGCACGATCCAGTGGATGTTCGCGCGGGCGGTCCACGCGAAGAGTAACAGGCCGATGGGGGGGCCCCAGACGCCAAACAGGCCCGGCAGGAGCCACTGCTCTTGTGCGACGGGGGCGCCCTTCTCGCGGTGGTGGATCCGCGCACGCGGGATGAAGTGGTACGTGATATACACGTAATACAAGGCGAGGCCGCAGATGCAGCCGACGGTCAGGGAGGTGAAGACCAGGCCCATCCCGCCTAGCGACATGCCGTACGTGCCAAGGTAGACGAGTGGAAAAGCCTCGAAGAACGAGTAGTAGGTCGCGTAGACGATGGAGCCGTAGACACAGGCGTACAGGATGGCCGGGTCCTTGGCCGTGATTTCCAGCGGCTTGTTGAGTGCCTCGTGCAGCATCTTGCCAAAAGCGAGGGGCGTGAGCTCGCACGGCGCTCTGTAGCTGTTGTTGCCCGTGGCTTTGCGGAGGCGTTGGGCCCGCCGGAGCAGGATGGTTTGAGGGGATGTCTCGGGCAGGAAGGGGAGGAAGACCAGCACCACGCCGCCCATCATCACCACCTCGTACAGCGGCCAGCGCCAGTTCTCTGTCACGGCGTAGCCCGCCAGCAAAGGCCCGAACGCCGGCCCGCAGTACATGCTCGCCACCCACCAGATGTAGCCGTACGGCGCGCTGTACATGTCGTAGACGTCGTCGATCGAGGCCGCCCCGCTGGCGAGGCACGGACTGCCGAACCAGCCCTGGAGGAAACGCAGGATGATCAACCCCGGGAAATTGTCCACAAAGGCGAGACCGATGGAGACCAGGAAGAAGGCTATGAACGAGTACAGGTACGGCGGGTTTCGGCCGATACTGGCGACTTCACTGAGCGGGGAGAAGAACATGGGGCCAGTGCCGTCTATTTTGGAGGATATCAGTATTCAAATCACTCCAAAGAGGGAGTGGGTCAATAACGTACAGCCAACGACATACATCGACAGACCGAGACTGGCGACAACCACCGAGACATTGTATCGCTCAACAATGTAGCCCGCGGTGGGGGTGATGATCGAGGCGGTGCAGTAGACGACAAAGGTGTAGACGTTGATCAGGGTGACAGTCCACGTCTTCTTCGCGGCCGACCAATTCCGCGGGTTGTCCGTGTCGTCGTCGGCAAAGGACACCACGATCGGCTCCGTCAGAGCTTTCTGGGACATGGCGCTCGAGACTTCGTCCGGGGGGGTGGCCAGTCTGAGTGAGGAGGCGCGCGGAAGGCTCTTTTCGAGGTCCTTTTCCACGTCCTTTTCGCTGGCGTCATCGTGGTCGTGATCCTCTTCGTCCAAAGGAGGGAGGACCTCCTGAGAGACAAATGGCAGGCTGGGTAATTCAAAGCCAGTGACTTCCTCGGGATAGTACAGCCACGACTTGAACCCGATCAGACGCAGGAACTGGCCCGCCGGGGTGTCTCTGAGGGACGACATGTCGAGTGATGGCTGTCGAGCGAGAGAAGGACGGGGAGAGTGTCTGATGGTAGATGTTGACGTCCTTTCATTGTTTCGCATCCGTCCAATCTATTATTAAGACAGCCATCACATCACCATGGTGCGTGCCGTGGACCAGGGCCTGACATGTACGGCTCGATGGGTTGTCGCGGACCCCTCCCTGCCTCCTCTCCTAGAGACCGACGAGTTTGCCAGGCAACGTGGGCAGACCCAGTCATGCATGAGCTGCTCCATCCCCATCCCAACCCACCCAAAACCCCCCTGCAAGGCTGGCTGGGTTTTCTTTGGGCGTCGGGGATTCTTTTTCCTCTCTGATGGAAATTCGCCTAGATTCCGCGGTACGTGTAGATTGAGATGGACGCGGGTGTCAAAAAAAACCCAGTGCGATGGCGCAAGGCTCGTTCGGCTATTGGGTCGAGGCAAGAGAAACGTGCCTCGAACTTTGTCGAACCAGGGGACGGAAATTATCATAGAGTGCCACACACCACCCTCGACGACCGGGGAGGCGGATTTCGCCATGCGGCTGATATGGAGTCTTTTTTCTCGATTATCGAGCGTCTGTTATTGGTCCGATGCGATATCGCGAGGTCCCCGTCATTGCGTATGAACAAGGTACCGAGTACTCCTACGAGTACGGTGTGTTTGGGAGTGTTTGCCATACTGTATATAGCAGGAGGTGGCGGGTGTCAAACGGACGCCAGATGTGGCTTGCCGCGGGATGCCGTGGCCCGTGGCAGCTTGCATTGCTTTCTCGAGGAATCTGGTTCCTATCGAGTTTTGTCTAGCTAGAGTCTGCTGCACAAGCAGTCACGAAGATGGATGCTCATGAAAATGGCATATATGACGAGTAACAATACCTTGCAGAAATAACCTACGCGTACGAGTATGAGGAGGTGCTATTGCCGTGTGTACTGAGCACCTGAGTTGGTGACCTGCATTTCCTCTTTGCGGAATGACCGATGACCGAGATACGTGGCTTGGTCGTGCAGGTGCTGGAATGTGCAGAGAATGGGGAAATCAAAAACCCCAAGGGCCACGACCTTCGACGTGGATGGATGAGGAGTGGTAAAGTCGTTGGCAGTTTGTTGGGTTCGGCTAATTTCCACTTGCACGCCATTCATCACATCGGTCAAGCCACATGGAATCTGGCCTGGCGTGCCTGGGTAAAAAGTACGTACATCGCGTGCATGGGCGCGGACTGAGGCCATTGACACGAAAAAGCCCAGACTCGGTAGTTGAGAGGACATGGACTGTGTATAATCAAGTAGAAGATGGTAGGTATGAGGTATTGTATGACTGCTGTTTGTAAGTAGGTAGAAAGAAAGGGGCTGTCGTCTCTACGGGGTGGATGTATTCGGGGTTGCAGGTATCAAAGAACGTGTATCTTCCTCCAGCGACACGTTCCCTTCCATCACTCGTACATAGGCACGAGGTACTGATTCTTTACGAGGAGACACGGCTACACACAGTTGACGGCTGTCATGTCTGAAACAACCCATCAAAAGCCTCGCCAAAACCGCCAGAAGTCGTAGTTGTTTGATGTCAGAAGGTACCATTTCAGCCCCCCCCGGCTCGCCAAGGTCTTTTTGGGGTTTGGTGGCATGTGGCTTCAGGCTTCGGACTGCCCTAGACTGTTGGATTTCTAGGTAGGCGCTAGGCTTACTTATGTACTCGTAAGCACCTCAGGTACCTCTCTACAGGGGTGTGCACGGACTGCCTTCTCAAAACAGGCGAGATCGGCCTCGCCATGTGCGCCTCTTTCTTTTTGATCGGAGATTTATCTGCGGAGTGCGAGGCTAGAAACTGGTATGTACCACTACAAAAAGATATGATGGTGTGTTGATTTCCCCCTTTCATGGGTTTTATCATCATCGGAGTGTCTGGGTGTCCACCAGTTCGTTCGTGGATTTTACCACGTACTGTACTTGGTGACTCGTGCTCATGGCGCACACATGGTCCACGGAAGGATCTTGGTAGTTTCTTCCGAGACTGCTTGCTCTCCTTCCCGATCGATCGATCACGCATAGATGTATGTACGTATGTACTCGTACCACTGCTGCCTCGGTTGGGGACCTAGGTATATTTAGACGACGTACACATGTACTTTGACCTCGTCTCTACGTAAGTCATGGCAACTCCGGCAACCAAGCCCGAGATTGGGCATCAAGCATCAGACACCAAGTACCCCGTACCGAGTACCTGCTGCTATACAGCCTCGCCATGTCTTGGTCCGATTCCTCTGTTCCTGACAGCGGTTTCCTCAGATTTCTGCCAGATATTGATCTCACTTAGACACCTGACTCAATGAAGCCATCGGACCGTGTCACGCATCTACAACCGCGATGTCACTGTGCCTCCTTTCCGCCTCTTGGCCAGAAACCCATCGACTACCCCGAGAGCCTCTTCCATATACTCCGGAGCGACAGTAAAATGCACGCGCACGTAGCCGGGGAAATCGCGTTGCCCGTCCGTGCTAAAGCAGAGACTGCCGGGACTGACGAGCACGCCGTCCTCCGCGAGGAGCTGGCTGCAGAACTCGACATCGTCATCCGCCGCCGGCGGATGGGAGAACTTGACAAAAGCAATCGCCCCGGCCGTGGGCCGTGTCCAGGAACACATGTCGCTGTTTTTCTTGACGAATGCCTCCAACAAGGCCAGGTTCTTCCGCGCGTAGTCGAGGTGGCGCTGTAAAATCTGGGGTCGGCACCGGGGACTCAGCACCTCGGTGGCGACGACTTCGTCGATCACGCCCGTCGACATGACGGTGTACTGGCGCGTGTTGAGGACGAGATCGAGAATGTCGCGGTCGCGAGACACGATCCAGCCGATCCGCACGCCGGACATGCCCCATACTTTACTCATGGAGCTGGTCACCACAACTCGGCTGTATCCGTTGTGCTCGACTAGCGACGGGACAGACGCAGACGCGCCGCCCGGTGGACCATGGAACAAGGGCCGGAAGATCTCGTCTGCAAAAACGACGAGATTGTGGTCGCGCGCGACATCCAGGATCTGCCGTTGAAGTGTCCCGTCGAGGTGCACTCCCGTCGGGTTGCTGGGGTTGTTCAGGATGATCATCTTCGTGGCCGGCCTGATCAGCCCGCGCAGCTCGTCGATACTCGGCTGCCATCCCCGGGCAGGGTCGAGCTTCCAGTACGAGATATCACACCCAAAGCTCTCCGGCAACCCCAACAGTTGCGGATACGTCGGATACTGGCAGACGACATGGTCACCCGCGCGCAGCAGGCTTTGGAACACGGTTAAATTGGCCCCCGTGGTGCCCGTGGCGGTGACGACGTTCGCGGCCGAGATGTCCTCGTTGTACATGCTCGCAATCTGCGTGCGGAGCTCCTTCGCCCCCTGCCGTGACCCGTTGTTCATCTTGATGGAGCGGAAATGCAGCGCCCGCTCCGTCGCGGCGGGGTCGGTCGACAGGGAGAGCAGGTCGTCGGGCGAGATGCTCGGCGCGGCACTCCCGCCCAGCACATACTTTGCTTTGTCTTTGTTGCCTTCGATCCACTATATTCGTCGCCAACCCTCGCCCTCGTTCGCGTCAGGTGAGTAACGTGTCCTAGTTACATGTCAGGGGAGAGAGTATGACTCACGTTTGCGAGGTGAAAGGGCGCGAGTTGCGCCATTGTAGTATTGGGTGCCTCTGAGCGTCACGCTGAAAAGACTCAGAGGATCAGAAACCCCGTTCTTACATATGTAGATGTGCGAGATAAAATACCCAAGGTATCATCAATGATTCGCGTCGTCTCTTCCTGCTCTCTGACTCACGCAGACGTATACGCAGCAAGCACGCCCTTCTCTGACATCAAAATCTTGGCATGACTTGGGGGATGGAAAGTAAAAAGTACAAGCACCAAGATAAGGCGTCCACAGGCCTTGAACTGGCTGATAAGCAGTCATTTATCTGGGGTCTTGTCTAACCCCACAGAACCCCATCACCAGTAGATTATTCTGTGTCATAGGCTTGAGAGTCGGTTGATGTCATCGAACCAGTCCTAAAGTCCTCCCAGGTATCCCTCGCCTCACGATGTGTATACAACTAATTAACCCACGATATTTCGACCCAAATTCCGTCCGAAGCTCAGTCGTCCATCGCCACGTCACACATGATAGTCGTTCCTCTAAATCATCCGTATCTGCACCAATTCACAAAAGCACGTTCAAAAGTAGAACCTTAAACACTCGTCGGTACGACCAGAAACTCCTGGCAAGGTGCCTCCCAAAGTGAAGCCATCCCATCAACACCCACTTATTCTTCCCTTCAGCGTCAAAGAGTTTGGGGTTCAAGTCGCCGAACCAGGCGTCAAACTCTTCTTGAATGTTCATCCCATCGTCGGCTGATTCTGAAGAGGTACCACTCAATAGCAAAGGAGAACTAGAGGCCTTGCTCGAGTCTGGGTCGCTGGCTCCAAACGGCCAGTTGATACTTCCGGTCCCGCTGAAGGATGGAAAAACAGGCTGAACATCTTTACCGGGTGAACTGAAGGCAGGGTCCCAGTGGCCACCAACACTGCTTGATGACTCTCCTTTATCCCAGTGGACTTGCAAATGCTCATGTACGACGCTACTCGGTGGAAGTCCTTTGTCGTTATTCGACGCACTGTTGCGAATTCCTTCAAGAAAATCGCGGTAAGTGTCAAGGTCGTGCATGCATTCGGCCCAACTTTCTCTCAGCTCTGGGAATTTGGAGTCAAGCCGCCTGAGCATGTCAAAGGATAAATAGATGTAGGAAATCATGTGCTCCAAGTGGTTAGGGATGCGTTGTCGTAAGATCTCCAAGATGGCCTTGTTGCTGCTTCGCCAAAGCCGCCCTGGTAGGTCATACTCAATTGCCAATCTTTTCAGGGCGGGTGATGCTAGAGGGTGGTGGGTTGCTAGGAGAAAGTCGTGATGTTCATGAAGCAGCGTGCGGTGCAGAGCCAGCAGTGCTTGCCACTGCATGTCGCTCAATGGTTTTGTGGGAGATGCTGATCTGGCTTCGCAAATCTCAATACACTTCTTTTCGACCATGACAAGGCCAGCATATATTCCTACCACTTCGATTAGTTTATGTTCCGCCATCTTTGTGTATCACTGGAGGATCTACCTCTGACTTCGTTGACGAGTTGCTCCTGTGTGATCGGACTAGTTGTGGGCGGACGTAATGGTGGTCTGATTTCCTCCATTTCCAAGTAGGCGAGTGGCTCGTATTTTTCGTTTTTGGCCCGGATCTCCGATTGCAGTCGTTCTATTTGTTGCAAGATGGGGTCACCGCCACAGTCAGAAGCAGAGGAACGGCTGCGTTTGTGCTCCAACGAGCATTTCAACTGCTTGTCCTCGGAGTGGCTGTCCCATGCGGGTGGGTCCTTCCTCTTGCCTTGAAGGACTGGCACTTCTTCGAGATTCCGATTAATATCCCAGACAGAGGTGCCCGGGCATGGGGTTTCAAAAGACCATGGCCTTCCAGCCCGTTTTCCCTTTGGACGTGACATCGCCGATTCTTGCAGAATTTGATGTTTTCTGGAAGCAGACGGCTCTTGGAGGCCAGGAATCCGTACGAGGCCCTCATCTCTGCTGCTGGAGGCCACATCCATGACCGGAATGCGCGTCTCGGCAATATCTATGCGGAAGGCTGAGCCGCAAAAGTTGGAAGTCACAGGTGGGGAGTGGGGGCCAAGTCACTAAGCTGGGAATTTATCCCAAGGGCAGGTGCCACAAGTGATCAGGCTAGCGGATATTCTAGGAAAGATAAAGTAGAGCTAGAATGTAGAGCTGGGGGAAGAGGGAAGTGCCTGTCTTTTTGTACAGTAGAGTAGCTGAGTACGAGGTCGGTGCCGGGAATTCTGCTAAGCTGCCTTCGGTTTAGCCGGCCTTAACTGTTTCAGGTATGGTCGAGGGCTGGGCGCACCGCCGCTTTTAACGGCCTTTCGACGTGACCGCGCCAACTTCGAGCTAAACCCAAGTGGGCGAGTACAACATTTGGCCCAGGCCTACTTCGGACATCGTTTGTCGTGGTGGGTAGTCCTTGGCCAAAGCTTACTTCTGTCATCTTCCTTACTGAAAGCAAGAGAGTACTGAAGCTGCGGAAGGAGGTGTTGATAACGAGGGGAAAGCACCGCTTTGGAGTACGAATTGACAGAACTGCGGCCAGTGTACCTCAATGAAATGAAGGCCGCATGTCCATCCTGGAGCAGCACACAGGGGATGATGGCAGCGGCAGTTTTTGAACTCGCTGTTTCTCGATGCTCTTCTGGTTTCGGACTTGGTATCATCGAGTCTTGGTTGGACAACTGGGAAAAAGGTGGCGAGTATTGGACCTTGATGGAGGAAATTATAGGCTTGACCATGTACGGCGCGTGCTGATAATGTCATTTAAAATTTCGAGGAGCCTGGGTGTGGAGTTCTAAAGACTATAGCCTTCCACTAGAAGACATTTTCGTGTTCATGTAGGGCCTTCAAGTTGGGGACGTTGCATAACTCGTCCTAAACTGTACGTTGCGCTGCCTGAAGATCTGACAAATGATACATGGATCGTCCCCGGTGACAGATGGAATTTCACACGTTACATGAGCGCGCATCCCTGCGCCTGTCTGATTCTTGCCTTGATCTGCTTCAGCTGCTTCTTCGTCCTCGCATTATCGTGCCTAAGATGCTCATTTTGGTCCCTTTCCGCCTGCAACTTGACCTCCATCTCATCGTGTCGTCGGGCCTCCTCTTCCAACTCCCTGGATCTCTCTAGCTGGAGTTGATCCCGATTGACTTTCAACAGCTCACAGTCCTTTTCCAGGCTCTTGATCTTTTTCTTCCATTTCTCCACGTCCTCCTCGAGGCTTCTGACCTCTATTTCCCTCTTTTGGTGGGTCAATCTGTTATCCTGCCTGACCTCTGCAATTTCCTTCTGAAGGTCATTGATCTCGCTTTCACAGAATTCTTTTCTGGTTTCCAACTTCCCTTCTAATACGATGCCGGCCGCGGTCTTATCAAGCGTTATGCCGTCCGCCATCTCTTTCTGGATTGTCAAGTCGATGCCGTCCTGGGGGCGATTTTCCAAAAGGTGGCGAACGATTTCCAATGCCGTCCGCCGTTCTCCGTCGTGAATGAAGGGGGTTGCCCCGTGAAGGATCATGGGCTTCCAGAATGCCTTGTCTTCAAGAAGCTCTTTGTGACGAGCGTCCTGCCTTTCTCTGTCTGCCGCTCCACTTCCCCAGTGTGTTGTCGCAAGTGCAACAGAAGACATAGAATCCTCACCGCACAGTTTTTTGAACATGCGGAGGTTGTTCCTGACCGTTCCTGTTACACGCGTGGTGTTGATCGCGTGTAAGTATACTATGCCTGTTAGCTTAATCTCACTCTCGTGTGCCTTGTTGAGCCAGTTCGCTATCTCGCGCAGGATGGCAGAGTCGGGCCGATTGGTGTCGTCAAATCCAGGAGTGTCGATGAAGATAACTCGACGGCCGTCAATTTCGTCAGGTGCCTGGTGCGCCTCTACCACGGCAGTCACTGCACACCCATTTTTGCGCTGTTAGCATTTCTCGAATGACGGCGTTGCGCACAGCTGCTGGGAACACTTGCCCGATTTTAATCCATCTCCCACTATAGCTGTATCGCAGAAGTGTTGAATGAACGTGCTTTTCCCTGAACCAGTCATTCCCATGACGGCAATGAAAGCATCAGTGGGCTGCACATCTCGTAGTCTTTAGAGTGGTGAGTAATTTAGTCCCCATCGAGATGCGCATATCTCGTCCAAACATACTCGAAGAGGGAAGGTGCAGAGTCACGCATTTCCATAGCAGGCTCACACGACTCGTACGGCGGTGGACTGTCTTTGTGGTCCGTGTCCTCTGCCACGTAGAATGGGTAACAAGGATTCATGGATTTCCAGACTCAACAACTGCTGGTGGGATTGATGTGACGAGCCTCATTAATTCGAGAGGAACAGCCTTTAGCTTTAATATCTCTGGGTGTATCCAGAATCGTCGACCTACCGTTTTCCCCTCCGCAGCCTACGTGGTTTTCAGCCGCATACCCGAATATTGTCCAATGAAACCAAAGCAAGTCTTGCAGCACACCATTCCCTTGTACATATCCGACGATGCTTGTCTCGCCAATCAAAAGGGACTCAGAAGCTGTGGGTGGGTGGAATGTGTCCCGCATTCGCTCCTTGTGATTTTTCGTGGGCAGCATGTCCCTCCGGTCATAGCACCCAGCGGCCATTCGCGACACGTAATCACTGCACAGCCCATGGACCTGCAGTCTTCTCAAACGAACTCATCTTCGCATGTTGTGTAACGTCGTCTGCCTTCCGTCAAACCAATGACGCCATGCCTTGTGACGTGGCTGTCGTTGACATTCGAAGTGCTATCTACAGGGGCGTTGGATGATTGATGGCCTCGGGTAAAAAGTAGTCCTTGAAGCGCCCGAGTGGTCATGCCGAAGTGGTCTGCTCCCCTGCTGCCCTTTCACACCTGACCACGTTGAAGTGGCGAGCGACGCCAGTTCTTCGTCGGAGAGAATGCCTTGTCAGCTGGGCGCTTGACTCGAGTGAATAGTATGTTAGCGACTTGTCGGATCGATAGCGAAGAAGCCATATTTGGCTGGAGTGAGGCAAGCATGAGCAAAACACATTGAGACGAAAAACAATTCCAGAATAGGCATCACGTGATTTCTCCGCCAAGCACATCCAGGGTATTCTGGACACACCAACGCAGTCCCGCTTTCCACTCCTGTTCCTTGGATCGAAACACAAGTAAATAGTCACACATCAAGGTCACGATGGGGAAGAATGATCGCCGACAACCCCCATCCAACGGCCGTCATGTTGGGTTTCAGCGTCGGTCTGTTCATCTGGACGACGAGCAACAGTCTGACAGGCGGCCTCAGCTGAGACGAGCTATGACTGAAGGCTTCCCACCCCGGGATTCGCACCGTGGAGTGGCCGCTTCTTCTGCACCACCCTCTCCACACAAAACCACGACGGAAGCAATGAGAATCGCTATGGCTCCAATCCGAAGGGTAGATGGCGGACGCGGTTTGCCATCATTGTAGGCAGGGTTCCGCCCACCAGGCGTACATTTGAATACCAGTTCTAACATTATCTTCAAGGGCCAACAGTATGGTCATCGCTCTTATGGGCGTTACTGGGTCGGGAAAGAGCTCATTCATCTCCCTTCTCGCCGACCAGGATGTGGAGGTTTCGCACAGCTTACATTCCGGTCCTGCCCCTGCCTGCGAGGGCGAGCCAGAGCTAACATACCGGCAGACACCGCGAGCATCAAAATATACAGTTTCAATGATCAGCGCGGCAGAACAGTATACCTGCTTGATACACCCGGGTTTGATGACACGACCCGCTCCGATGCCGAGGTTTTGAAGGACATCTCTTATCTCTTAGCCGCCATGTTCGCCGCCCATATTCGGCTGGCCGGACTCATTTATCTGCATCGGATATCTGATGCCAGGATGCCCGGCTCTGCAGTGAAGAACCTGCGCATGTTCCAGGCTGTGTGCGGTGAGTCAAATTACAGGCATGTAGTCCTCGCAACAACAATGTGGGCGGAAACAGGGAGTAGCGATGCACGAAACGTTCAAAATCAACGGTTGCGGGAGCTACAAGACACTTACTGGGACGACATGATTCGGTCCGGAAGCAAGGTTATGAAACATGACGGCCACAAGTCATCGGCTCTAGAAATCGTCCGCACCCTGACGGCTCGTGCCGAGTCGCCCGTCACCCTTGCCATCCAGCGCCAATTGGTTAATGAGGGTCAAACCCTGGATGAGACCGATGCTGGCAAAATTGTTTTCGAAGAAGTCATCGCAGCGAAGCGCAAGTTTAAGCTCGAACTTGATGAGCTGCAAGAGAGCTTGGAGGAGGCAGAGCAAGATGATGATCAAGAAGGGATCGAGAGCCTCCGGACCGAACGTGCGGCGATCGAGTCCAAGGCCCGACGGCGTGCGAGAGACGGTGATAGTCTCGGAGTCGACATCCGGCAACTAGCCCGGGAGCAGCATCCACTGTATCACAACCTGATCTCCGCCCTCCAGCAAGAAGATCATGACAGTGTTCAGACGGCTGGTTTTACGTACGATCCCGACCCTAGAGTGCGGAATCTGGAGCTGAGGCTTGAGGAGGAGCAGAAGCTGCGCAAGGAGAAGGAAAAAGAAAACACGGTGCTCAAAGAACAGCTCGAACAGCGTCATCGCGAACCCGCGGCGGAGACCAGCCAGAAAGGACCATCCAAGGCACTGCGTTTCGGCGTCGAACGGAAAACCAAGACCGAAGAGAAGTCAGGCTTGATGACCACCATCATGCAGTTCTTGAAAGTGGCCGGGTCGTACCTGCCATCCGAGGATGAGAGGTTCTACGTGGCGCAAAACAGTCGCTCGTCGTCGTCAAAGTCCTGGTCCAAATTGAGCATGGGCGCTCAACCCAGGGACCCGGTCCATTACCAACGCCAACACGACCGACCAACCCTGAACGAAAGAACCACGGGAGGCGCGAGACCGCAAGGGAATCCATGAGACGCTTTTTATTTATTTATCATTATTTTGTTTTCGGTAGCTTGACCTCAGTTGCATTACGATTCCAACGACATATATCTATTTTTTCTTGCCCGTTCCGACTGGATATGGTGGTCCCCAAATAACTTACCGCACACCAGCTAGCATCACTCTAGTCTTGTCCAGAAGCCTTTGAAAGAGCAGTGGCTAAGTAGCAACGGGCTGTGCAGCGATACAGTTGGCCAAGGAATCGCTCTGCTCACTCGGGCCTGCGATTTTATAGCCTTTTGACGTCCTGACATCGCAGGATCCAAGTTTTGATCACGTGGCTAGTTGAACTTGCCGCTATAATTCTGGAGATCCCAGCATCTGGCACTAAACCAGAACGAGAAGATTTCTCAAAACAGGCAAGCGTGATGGTTTCAAATCCACCAATCGAAGTCCGAGTGCCTTCCCCTTAGAAAGCACCTTGCAAGGAACGGGGCGTTTCACATCCCGAATGCTTCTTCTGATTGCTAAATGTAGAGATTCCTGCTACTGCAGCATCTGAGTTGCTCATTTCAGATATCGGGTCAGGCAGTTCTTGTACCGCTGTAGTTACGCAGTCAAATGAGCCTTGATTCTTCCCAGATTGACGTGCTATTGTATACTAGTCAATACGCCGGGTGTAGCTAGGACCACGCGACAGAAGTCCAGCGAATCACAAGTTCATGCAAACGAGGGCTGGATCTTTCCACAGTCCCTGTGTCTCAGCCGTTCAGGCAGATTCGTCTCATACCTAAACATTAACGATCAGTGAATATCAGAGCTGATACCGACAGTAGAGCAGGGATGTGTGCCTCACATGTGCTTTGTCCATTCACAAGCCAGAGACCTTGTCATTGCCGGGTCGATAATCTCCTCTATGCCAAAGTTGTTCGCCGTGCGAACCGGATTCATGAGGTTGAGGTACTCCGCCTCGAGGCGGTTGTAGACCTGTTTGTAGTTGTCCCCAGCTCTGCGAAGTTCGGCTCGGTGATTGACTGCTTACCATTAGCCCATTGAGTCCTTACAGGCAGAAATGATACCACATACCCTCAATCCCGCCGTCAAGCGGGAGTGATCCCCAGTTTACGGACGGCCTCAAGTTCGTTAGTATGGTCATCGCGTGATGCTGTCGAGGTCTTACCATGCAACACGGCAGTTGGGATTGCGGTTATCGACGAGAATCGCCCCTCCGATACCATAGCATCGCCGAGTGATGATGGTATAGATGGGAATCGTGGTGGCGAAGTAGGCCTGGCTACTGATGAGTATAGAATCGTTGGAGGAAGACGGGTGTCAACTGGTTCACCTTGCACAGCTCCATTGCCCATTTCATGCAAGCGCTCCTCTCTGCAGCGGTCCCAATTGCAAAGCTGGCATTTTGTCAGAACAAAATATCTGTGCTGGGACAGACAGGTCTTGGGAGAAAGGATCTCACCCTGGAATGTCCAAGAGTTGAATCAAGGGGAGTCCCATCACATCACAGAGTTTGATATGCTTCATGAGCTTCTGACAACCAGGTGTATCCATGGCTCCGGCATTGAACTGGGGATCGCTGGACTTTGCTGTAAGCTTGTGTCGTAATCATACAAGAAGTTTTCGTCTTCTACGGAACGAAGGAATTGTCAAACAATAACAAACGAGACACGTACTCTGCGAAAATGCCCACTGGTCTGCCGCCCAAGCGGGCTAAGCCCACCACAACGGTTCGGCCCCATAGTCGTCCGATTTCGAAAAATGAATCCCGATCAACGAGATGGTTGATGATTGACCTGACGTCGTATGAACGTTGTCGTCTTCTAGGGATGGCCTCCCTCAGTTCCGTGCACAGTCTGTTGGGATCGTCCGTTGAAGGCACGACGGGCGGTAGTACGCCACCGTGATTTGGAACATATTGTAGGAACTGTGCTATTTGATCATAACATCCACGCTCGTCTGCGGCCAAGTTGTCGATGACTCCATTGCAGCAGTGAATCTCTGCTCCGCCGAGTTCCTTCGGACTGAGGCGATATCAGATGAGGATGCGAATGGTGGCTATCAACAAGACAAACCTCAGGTCTTCTTCGAATGTGGCTCCTTCAACCACCTTGGGTCCGGCGTTGAAGAGCGAGCCGATATCATTTGCCATGACGGAGAAGTGGCATCCAGCTGCCCGTGCGGCACCTAGACCGACAGCCGGCCCGACCACGGCTGCGCAATTTGGGATGCCCAAGTCTAACTGCCTCATCTAAACCTCTATTAGTGAAGTCTGAAGGTTCGAGATCTGTATAAACTTACCACCCATGGCAACAACTCCAACTCAGGAATATAGGTCGCTTGCTGGACACGGTAGGTTGTTATTGACCCGCCGCCTGTCGCAGGTCAGCGCATAACGACGCCCAAACACAGAAATCGCCTACTCACCCGAAGATCCATCAACCAATTTGATCATGGGAAGTTTCATATGTACAGCGAGTTTCTCCATGTAGAGCGTCTTGGCCAGGAGTGCACCATCCGCATGTCCGGCACGGAGAGTGAAATCGTCTGCTGTCAACAATACTCGTCGACCCCGGATGTGTCCAAAGCCTGCGCAATCCTCAGTTGAAGTGGCTTGGATGGTCTTTTATCATACCTTGGACATTGTTGCTGGGGGTGAAGTCGGCAATGACCTCCTTCTGCGCCTCGACGATGTTATCCGATGAAGGATTCGCCTTGACCCAGGTTGCTGTGCCGGCAGCACTTCCGACTTCTCGAAAACTTCCTGGGTCGAGAAGCATTTCGACCCGCTCCCTTACCCATAGCTTTCCTGCTTCCTTGTGACGGATGTAACCAGTGGTGTTGGACTTTGGGGTTTGCGCGAATTTCCGAACTTGGTCTAATTCCGCCAGTACATCAGACCAATCTGCTGGGCCTTCAGATGCTTTGGATTTCTTTTGACGCCGAGTATTGGCCTTTCCAGAGACTTGCTGCTGGATCTGGTCGAGTCGCGCGGTCGCGTTTGTCTTGCCTTTCGCGGCATCGTCGTTGGTCATGATGGGCTTCCCTGCACACCTGTATTGCACAGTGTTATCTTATGTCTGGCATATGCGGCGCGAGTCTTGTTGTTCAGAATGACTCCCGGATCCCTATTTGTGCTTTAAGCATGAAACAATATTGTTCGACCAAGTCGACGCAGAAGATTTGACGGGGAGGGACAGGAAGGAGATGCCCAAAGACGAGGCTGTTGCAGCCTCGTCCCAATCAAGATGCCTCGGTAATAGTGCTTGGAAGAGCCTGTAGAGTAGCCCCAAGATTGCTCCAGGGAAACACGACCCCTCATCCCCAGGGTTCAATGCCCCTTACGACAGCATCGCACCGACTTGCCGAGGACCATCGACACCCGAACTCGAATGGGAAAGCCGACATGATGGCCCTCTTACCAACGTTGAGACACAAGGAGAAAGATGTACTGGACGCTCCAGGTTACATCGGAGCATAATATTTTGTGAACCATTTGCTTGGGTATAAGATACCCACGGCATCACCAGTGCGGTGCTTCGATATCATCAAAGCTCCATTACAGCCCCCGACCGGATCTCTCTTCAAAAGCCGACTCTGCGAGGATCAATTGACCACCTCTGAGCCAGGTATGAGGTAATTTGAAGGGACCACTTAGTGATCGTGGGCCAGTGGTTCCTCTTCTCCTCTTTCAATAGCCGATCTTACCACGACTGCAAAGATTGTCCCCAGTGGAGAATTGTGGATGACGATATTTTGCATGGGGGATGACACTGCACATTTATCAGAAGCAGCCAATCCTAAAAGTCCGCTATGATGATCACTTGAAGAAGCAGCAGATGGACCAAAGCTTGTGAATGCTTCGATGGAAATCTTCGCTGATCAATAGCCGGTAACCCACCAGGAAAAGGAGCCATCCTACCATGCTATCCACAAAACCATTCTTCGATGGGTCTGCAGAAGCAATTCAGTGGGTCGGGCCCTCTGTTGATTCCTCCGAGCCTTTCGCCGATCGAAACACGTTTGCTCGACCACGCAATGCGTTCAATATCCTACTCCTTGTTTCGATGGGCGAAGGGCGTCCTGGCCCACTGATGCGACGGGGGTCCGCTCGAGGCTGCTGGTGTGAGAAATATAAAGACTGTGAAGGGATGGATTGCGAAAATCGCATATCACCAGAGTAAAGCTGTCTCATTCTACGATTTCGCTATTGTGGCCTCTCTTGTACTCTCTTCAAAATGGGTATCGACAATTCCCAGGGCCAGACTCATATTGAGGATGAGAAAGACCCACAGCAAACACGCATGCGGCAGCAGTCAGTCGCATCTCGACGTCTGAGTGAAGCCCAGGCAATGAAACTGGCCGAGGACGACACCGCCATCGTTGACGAAGAAATCGCAGAGTTTGAAGCAGCCCTCGAAGCACAACCGGTCAAGAGCACCTTTCTCAATCCGCAAATCTCGTTCAATGACCCCCGACACTTCACCTGGCTCCTTGTCGGCTTTGCTTCAATGGGTGGCATGCTCTCCGGGCTCGACCAGAGCGTTATATCTGGTGCCTTGCTCTATATGCCCGACGATCTACACCTCAGCACATCTCAAGTCAGTTTGACTAGCTCGGCCGTGCCACTTGGCGCAATTGGTGGTGCCCTGCTCCTCGGTCCCACCAATGAGCTGGTTGGTCGCAAGATGGCCATCATCATCTCCCTGATTCTCTACACCATCGGCGGCGCCCTGGAGGCCGGTGCTATCAACTTTGGCATGATTGTGGGTGCAAGAGTCATCCTCGGCATGGGTCTCGGACTTGAAGGAGGTACCGTTCCTGTCTACGTGGCAGAATCGGTCGAGAAGAAATACCGCGGCAATCTGGTGAGTCTGTATCAGTTTATGATCGCCTTTGGCGAGGTCATCGGGTACGTGGTCGCAGCCATTTTCGTCAACGTCCCGTCTGGTTCTTGGAGGTATATGCTCGGCTCGTCCCTGGTTTTTAGTACCATTATGCTTGTGGGTGTAAGTATCCCTCATGACAATGAGCTGTCAGTGGAAGAGTTCTTCTGTCCAAGACCTTCCTCCTATATCCTTCCATACTAATGAGAGCACAGATGCTTTTCATGCCCGAATCCCCGCGGATGCTCCTCCACAAGGGCAAGACCTTGGAGGCGTTCGCTGTGTGGAAGCGAATTCGAGGCCTTGCCAGTGCTGAGGACCGCAAAGAATTCTTCATCATGCACCATGCCCTCGACACAGAAGTTCACGAAGGTGACACAAAGCGCCGGAGATTCGTCTGGCTTGACTTCTTCACCAATCCGCGTGCTCGAAGAGCTATCGTCTACGCAAACATCATGATTGCGCTTGGCCAGTTGACTGGGATCAATGCAATCGTAAGTCCCCTGAGGCTTGACTTGGTCTTGAGTCAGAATCGCTAATGGTTGCCCAACAGATGTACTACATGTCAACACTGATGTCCCAGATCGGATTCGACAAGAAGCAATCCGTCTTCATGTCCCTCGTGGGAGGCGGCTCACTCCTGCTAGGCACCATCCCGGGCGTGCTGTACATGGAGAAATTCGGCCGTCGCTTCTGGGCAAACACCATGCTTCCTTGCTTCTTCGTCGGTCTCATCTTCGTCGGCGTGTCTTACCAGCTAAACTCCGTCACCGCCACAGAAGGCATGTACCTCACCGGGATCATTCTGTACAACGGCTTCTTCGGGTCCTACGCTTGCCTGACCTGGGTCCTGCCCAGTGAGGTGTTCCCCACGTACTTGCGGTCCTACGGAATGGAGTCCACCGACGTCAACCTGTTCTTCGGCAGCTGGCTCGTCACCTACTTCTTCTCGGACATGCAGCGGGCCATGACCAAGACGGGCCTGACGCTTGGATTTTACGGAGGCATTGCGGTGCTCGGCTGGATCTATCAGCTTTTGTTCATGCCCGAGACGAAGAACAAGACGCTGGAGGAGATTGACCTGATTTTCAGCCAGCCTACCAGTCAGCTTGTGAGGGAGAATCTCAGAAATGTCACGCGGGGGATGAGCGACATTGCGCATTTCAGGTTTGGCAACATCTTGTCCCCTGCAGAGGAGAGTCATGAAACTGAAAGGCACATCGACGAAGTCAAGGCGTAGTTACTTGACGCCCTATACAAGATATAGACAGCACGGTTGACCCAATACAATACTAGCTTGCTTTTGCGTTGATCCTCAAATGGTTCTCAGATTGTCTGCATCAGGCATGCTATCTATATATTTGCCATTCTCCCACAGGCCTCAATCTGTCACCCCTGCAGCCGCCACTTTCACTGAACTGGCCAAGTCCTTGTCCAGATCTACATGTCCATTCGCGCCGCCACCACCACCCTCGACATCTCCATTCGTCGACGCCTTGCGATAATACTGTGTAAAATCGTGCTTCAGTACATCCGCACCGCTGCGGAACACCTTTGCAAACTCCTCGTCGGCCTCTGCGCGCTGACACATTTTCAGAAACTCGTCGTTCTCCAGCGCCTTGTCGGGATCCTGGCCGAACAGGCGTACTATGTTGGCGCTCGAGATGGGGTTCACGACTTCGTTGTACTTTTGGCGCCGAATCTCCGAGTATTTGTCCAGGATCGACTCGTCGGCGAGACCCGCGTAGATGCCGGCGAGGCAGTCGTACAGGCCGCCGATGTCGACGATGCCGCCCGTCAGGCCCATCCCGCCGAAGGGGTTGCATACTGCTCATCACGTCAGTGTCTGGTAGGTTTCTTCTTCTTCTTCTTCTTGGGGACGCTCAGGATGTGTATACGTACAGTGCGCAGCGTCCGCGGCCAGACAGAATCGCCCGACGCGCATACTCGGCGCGAGTCGCTGGTGGATGCGGTACGGGCTAAAGTTGACGATCCGGTATTCATCTGGTTTCGGATGCCCGGGCAGCATCGCCTCAAACTTCCACGGCTGTCTCTCGCGGAGCTGGTCGTTGGTGAGGCCCGGCTTCTCGCCGTACGTGACGCGGTAGAGGCCGTCCTTGCCGATTTTGGCAGCCATGTACCAGTGTTCCGGGTCGATGATGAAGTTTGAGTCGAGCCAGCCGAACTTGTCAAAGTCGTAGTATGTCTTGGGCCTCTTCATTAGCCAGTCGCTCACATGAAGCCCTTTGTAGTTCTGGGATGGTGGGGGTAGGAAACTTACATTGGTAGCGACAATCTGCTCGTCCCACGTCTTGCCCGGGAACTCCTTGTCCCCGAACAAGGACCGTCTCACCTGACTGTTCGCCCCGTCGCACCCGATGATGTACTCGGCCTCGAGGCGCTTCTCGCCTTCGGGCGTCTTGCACACGACCCAGGCCCGCTGATCGTCCTGCCCGACCGACACGACTTTGTGGCCCCACGACACCGTCGCCGTGGGCTGCCGACCGATGTGGTCCATGAGGATCTTCCCCAGCCGGTTCAGCGGTAGGCAGACCATGCGGTCCGGGTCGTCCTCGACTCCCATCTTCAAGCCCGCCAGGTACGTGCCGTCGAGTTTCCGCCAGCAGACCCCGTCCGGCATGAACCCCTGGGCGCGGAGGTCGTCGACGATCCCGGCCCGGCGCAGCTCGTACATCGCTGGGGACCCATAGTGCGTTGCGCGCGGTTGTTCGTCCAGTTTGACGGACATGTCGATGAGGTGGACGGGGATGCCTTTCTTTGCGAGCATCAGGCCTAGAAGGAGACCTGACGGGCCCGCCCCGACGATTAACGCCCATGGTTTGGACGTTGACGACATTTCTTCTTTAATCCGGGAAAGGAAACCAGGGTCTTTGTCTTTGACCTTCGTGACAGTCGACAGATAGGAAGAAGAACGATATATAAGTTTTCAAATAGCGGACAATGGCAACCTCAAGATCATAGCTGTATTTTCTTCTCGTGGTTTCTCTTGGCTCAAAACAACTCGGCACAAGTCTACGTATTCAAGGTGGCGACCTCTCTCACGCGATGTGGGGTAAGACGCTCATGACGCTGAAGGGTGAAGGGGTAAAAGGATTAAAGGGGGGATTGTGGGGTAGAATAGCCTTGGAGAAGAGGGAGATGCAGCCTTGTCGTTGAACCTGACCTTCGTCCACTCTCTCCTTAGCCTGGGCGTGTCTGGGCATTTGAACACAAAATCAACTACTCCGAAACTTCCCTCCAGTATATCGCATCCCTCAGGTACCATTCTGGAGGGGATGGCAACAAGTTACGGCGCATAGCTGTGGCAACCGATTCTAGTTGACGTAATGGTTCACAAAAGTTCCCTTTCTCTAAATTGGGTTAGCGTCGTATCAAAGTGCTTCAATTGCTGTAGGCATGTTCGCGCTTACGCTGTTATTTTGACGGCAAGGAGGAGCAACAGGATCCTATTTGCGCCCGAATCGCCGGTGTCAGAGCGCGCGGGGGCGAAGGACATGATTGGTATTCATCGTTTTGTACGCATCTCGACAAAGCGTTCCAAACAACAAGGGTGAACCGTGTTCCAATTGCACGAAGCCTTTTCTTTTCTTTCAAATGTCCTGAACTATATCTAGAGTGTACTTCCAACATTCATCTTCAGGTGCTCGAGCACCTTACGCTGCCGTAGAAGACTGAAACAACTTCAAGTGAGTCGATCTGGCCACAATCACCCCAGCTCAACCGACACTGGTGTATTGCAAGACTACATTCGGTCATGTCTCTCCCAAAGAACCAAGTCAATTCATTGACATTTGTGTTAATAATTGGGACCGTATCCGTCAAAAATTGAGCCCGCAAAATGAAGGACATAGACTCTTTCCATCACGAACGCCAAAACACGACGAGGACACAGGGGCTCGCGCAGACCAGGGAGCAAAACATTCGCAGAACAACACCGATACCTACAATATCCATGTTCAAGCAAACAATCAAGGGCCTGCCGGTCATGGGAAGTTGTTCACAGTGGAAGTTCAGCCAGGCATGAGCAAGGCGGCGTTCAAGAGCTCGATGGAGAAGGTGGCTCAGGATGCGGGAGTGATGTGAGTAACAATTCCTCAGCAAGCGGCAAGTGGGGAGTCACACAGTCCGTGTATCGGTGGTCAGTCAGTCAAATTCCATGAACAAAGTCTTACCTGAAACTCTTCAAGTTCTCTCTGATTTTCCAGGGACTCCATGACCTCCCTGATCACCTTCCTAAGACTGTTCTTACATCCATTAAATAAGTCAACCGGTACCCATCCCTCCAGAGGAAATGTGGCAGATATGTCGCTAGCTTCAAGAATGTCACGAAATCCACTGAGCCATCGTGCATCCTCGTAGTGCTTTTCTAGCTCATCATGATTAAAGTGGATGGGACATGAAGGAGCAGACTCGATTTGGTCATTTCCAGTAAGCTTTGACCAATTCTGCTGAACTCGAAGTAATGTGTTTCTGAGCATAAGTGCGTCGGCATCGTGACCATCGGAAGTTCGCGCATAATTTCCGATCTGTCTTCGTATCGGGTTAATCTGCTTATCGTCGTAAACGGCTGCGACAGGAGGTATGTTTTCCCTAAAATGCGATAGATAGTAGCCCTGTAGCATTGTCTTATTGAACCTTTCCCAAGTCTCGGATCTCACAGAAAGAGACATTTCCTTTAGGCCCTTGGGTGACTCAAATAACTGAGCATCATCGGCCAAATCCAAAAACTGCGGTTTTCGTATTGCGAGAAACAAAGGCAAGACATTCGCGTCTTGCCAATCAATGATACTAGTCACTTTTCCTTCATCGGAAACAAAAATATTCCCATCATGAAGGTCTCGGTGCCATAGTAGCGGCAGACAGCGATCAGGGGACCGAGGAACGATGTGTGGCGTGATTGTGCGAACCAGTTCCAGCATTTGGCGTACGGCTGCGTTTGACAGGTCGCTAACCGGCTTGATTGGGAAAGAAAATGGTCGGCTGGGGATAACATCTGTCCCTTCGTGGGCGCGACTACTAATTTGTAACAGGGATGAACGTGCGAGAGAATCGAGATAGTCGTTTGGAGTATACCCTTCGATGGAGTAAGCATGAAGCCCAGTGCTTGCATAGACTAGGAATTTACAAGGACCGGAGTCGAAGTCCGATTCCCACAGGACTGATTCCATGAAATGTCCGTGCGCCAACGGGCCTATAATGAATCTCGAAGAGTTTGCTGCTGAGAGTTTAATCTGCCGGCGAAATTTGAATTTCGCAGCGTCCTCGGTGAAGTAGAGACTGCCGTAACCCTGAAAGCGTTTGCTGGCTTCAAGAAGACGCTCTTGAATCGTAATAATTTGATCCACAACGCCAATTCTCTGCTTAACGCTTAGGCGGGGCCATGTGCTTTTGAGATCTGCTCCCACAGCTTCTTCTAGAATCATGTATTCACATCCAACTGTGTTGTCCTTGTTGTCGCTCCAAGCCAACACTTTTGGTACTGGCAAGTTCAACTCAGCTCTTAAAAACTCCAGGGTTGCTACCTCACTTGCCGTGATCAAGCGTCGTGAAACGACAGGATCAGGAACCTTGACGATAAACCGCCGCCGACCAACTGTAGCAGTCATCACTTTGTTTGAGGCTCCTTCGGCAAGCTTATTGACTTCAACTCTATCGGATTGTCCTTCCAACCCGGCCGTCTTTGCGACCACAAGCTTCAGAGCTTTCACATCGAATGTTAAGGTATGTTGTTGTAATTTTTGGGGCTCGTTCCAGAGCCAATGGCCTGTAGTTGGGAGGAACAAGGAATCATCAGTGAACCTTGCAAATAGGTACGAACAAAGGCTGCGGCCGATCAGAGGGATTTGAAAATAGAGGTTTCATCGTGTACCTCAATATTGCAGAAGAATCGAGAGAACAAGTATGACTGAGGTGAAGATATCGAGCCGAGTCGGATGCGCCGTCTCTGTGCTAGTGGAGATGATGCGCTCCGCTGCAGGCAGGCAACAAGGTCACGTGATATTGGAGACGGGCGGGCGTCGAGATTCCGGCGGATTGCAGTCCACCATATATCGTATCAAATATACTTCAATTTATCTTCATACTGCGGAGACTTCCTCCACAAAGACCCCTCCCCAACAGATATAATCTAGGAGTGCCTGGACACTGACATCTCGTCCGGTATGGGTCCACTATGGCGCATGATTTGTTTTCCCAGGTTTCTGCGGCTGCGACATACGCCGGAAATTCATACTTCACCCAAGAAAGAATCCTCTCATGATTCTTCGGTTGAAGTCGTGACAGACAATAATGATGCGAGTTCGACATTGGGCTTCTCACTGGGTGAGACCGAGATTGGTGGCGTTGGCAAATTTAATGGCCATCAATCTACAACTGAAAGGTAAGGCATGGAACAAAGGAGCATCTGGACTGTATGGCCGGCACTGAGTAACCGCAGCTCATCTCCACAATCATCTAGCAATTCACCAGATGGCGTATATCCCCAAGACGAAAGGATTGTCTCTTCCCCTGCGAGGGCATATGACCTCTTCGAACTCACCCCGGGTGCTGTTCGCCTCGTCAAGGTCTCGCCAAAGGCACAGCATGAATCCACACATTGTTTGTTGTCCCGCTCGACCACGTCCTCCAGCTACATTGCACTCTCATACGTGTGGGGGATATCACCGGGTCTATCCACTGTCAAACTCGAATGTGACGAAGCTTTGGGCAGAACCACAGAGTCCAAGGTGCGGCACAACCTGTCGACGTTTCTCGAGGTCGCCGGGTCTCTCTACCCCGAATCGCATTTCTGGATCGACGCGCTGAGCATAGACCAAACCAACGTCGACGAACGGAACCACCAAGTCCAGCAAATGGGAGAAGTATATGCCCGTGCCGAAAAGGTCTTGATCTGGCTCGGCCAGGGTGATCCTGCTCTCGACTACACGGTCCGCGCCATTTTGAACGAGGAATACCCACGACCACAACGCGTCACGGACGCCCACGACAAATTCTGGCCGGGCCTCTACAAGCTGTGCACGCACGACTACTGGAATCGACTGTGGATCGCGCAGGAAGTGTTCCTAGCTCGAGAAATTTCGATCTTGTACGGCCACGTCGAGATCCCCTGGGACAGTGTCTCGGAGATTGTGCTCGGGTACGCCGACTCCTCGTGGTTCCTGGATAGTTCATCGGACGGGGGGAGTGGCTGCATGGTCGACCAAGCCATCCGCGCTACCCCGGCGTTTCCCTTCTTCATGAGCCGCCATGTGTCTCACGGCCCGGCGCACTATGCGTTCCGACTCCATGATCTCCTCCGCGAATACGGCACTTCGCGCTGTGAAGACTCGCGCGACCGGGTCTTTGGATTGCTCTCATTGACCCGCCATGGCATGCAGTTCCCCGTCGATTACAACCAGTCGCGGTCCGAGCTGTTCTATCGAGGCTGGTCGCATTTCAACACGGACGGCTCTCCCGAGCTGGCGTATCTGCTCATGGTGGCTCTGGAATTGACGCTGGAAGATCTCGAGGCGGAAATCGCGAATGACCCGTCCTTCCATTGGAATCCATCCAGCTGGCTGAGCTGCCGCCCGTCACGGAACCCCGAGCTGCTCAACCCGTGTGTGCGGCGTCCGACGTTTGACCAGATCTCAGGCGTGTCGGGGGTTCATCAGTCCTCCTCTGATGCGGAGTGCTGGACGTGCTATCTCTGCGACCAGACAGTTCATCTCCGCCGACCTAAGAGGGACGAACTCATCTGCTGTCTTGTCCGGTCTGGGTTCCCCAACCACATCATCTTTGAGCCCACGACGCCATTTACATACCTTCCCGCCGTGTTTACCGTCATGGAGACGCAATCTGATGATGATGACGACCACCACCACGACCCCCACCAGCTTAAGATACAGAAAGATCCACCAGGACTCAGTGTCCCGCTTGAAGAGTGCAGACTCTCCATGGTCGAGAGGCCAGATCGCATATTTGCAAAGATCGAGATGAGCTGTCCGGCCCTGGTGTTCCTTCTACGCCAATTGGAGATGCTCGCTCGACGGGACGCGACCTCGGCGCTGAGAGAAGACATATTCTCGTGCGTGGATGACCGGCTCTATAGGTTTGTGCTGTCGCTCACGGGCGGCGAGAGTTTTACGAGCACCACCAAAACCACATTGGAATAGACCCACTCTGATCTAGAACGTAGTCTGAGATAGTATACCATTTTACGTGAGCGCTTACAGCGTATGGTGTGAGATGGAGATTTTTTGCTCTTGTCAAAGGCAAAACACGTAATACTGTCTACGTTCGCGAGACGCTGCTGATCACATTGAATGAAAACTTGAAGCGAGGTGTTTGGCACCAAAGTTGTATCCCTAATACTCTTCCAGATATTTCCGTCCCGGGACATTAGAGACGATATTGTCTTCTTGGGCCTTCGCGTCTCCGTGCGTAAGGATGGAGTGAACCGCGAGGGACAAGCGGATCCACCTCGGCCGTGTTGATCAGCGCTGGGTCCGCCTCGTCTAGAGATTTCAGGCCGGCTAAGCGCATGGCTGTCTCGATCTCGTCTTTGATGACTGTATCATGATAGGGCGTGGTTAGCCAAGCAGGAGAAGAACAGGCAAATCGAAAACGGGATCGGGGAGATAACGTACTGTTGATAGCGTGCACGACGCCTTCTTTGCCGTAGTTGATGGCATACATGAAGGGTCTGCCCAGGCCGACACCACTGGCTCCGAGACAGAGGGCTTTGAGAATGTCGGATCCTCTTCTGAATCCCCCGTCGATGAAAATCTCCATGTGGTCAAAGACCTCTGCACACTCCCTGTGTAGCTCTAGGAGCACGAGAATCGAGGCCGGGGCCCCGTCCAGCGCCCTGCCTCCGTGATTGCTCACCACGATCCCCTGGCAGCCCATGTGCATGGCGAGCCTGGCATCGGCCGCTGACTGTATACCTTTCAGGACAATTGGCAGTTTGGTCTGTTGTCGCAGCCAGGCCAGGTCTTCCCAGCAGAATGCCGGGTCTATGAAAGACCCTACACTTCTTGCAAGCCCCGCGCCCTTGTGGTCGCTACCAGCTGCGGAGCCTCCGACGCCGCTGGAATATAACGTGTCATGTTTTATCCGTTCGTCTGCTTCTCTCTTCGAAACAACAGGGAGGTCGACGGTGACAAACAAAGCTTTGATCTGTGGGCGGCTGTTGATGACCCTGAGGAGCTCTTCAGTCTTTGACCGGTCTTTGTTGATGTATAGTTGGAAGAAGAACGGATGATCCTTGCCCGCTGCGTCAAGAATCTCGAGCAATGGGAACGAGGCCGTCGTTGATATCTGATTGATGTCAATACAGGGTGGCAGTCACCAGCGACAAATGAACCAACCGTCTGTATGATGCCAGTGGCTGCGGCGCCTCTGCTAAGCGCCAGTTCACCCTCTGGTCCAGCCGTCTTGCCAACACCAGCCGCTGGGTTACTGTTAGCATGGGACCTTACCGTAGAAAAGGGCGCCAGTGGAGTTGATCAAGCTTACGTGCAATCCATATAGGAAGTGATACTTGGCATCCCATCATCGTCGCTTTCGTAGATACAGTCGAGACATTTCTCAATATCCGAGGCCGGAACCATATCTTTCTGAAGAGGTCGTGGTTCACGTCACGCGTGATGTTGTCGTTTGAGGCGCCCGAGATGAAGGTCCAGCTCTTCTCCGAGAGTGACTTCTTCGCAGCATCTTCAAAGTCGTACAGGTTGATGAAAGTGTCGAGCGATGGTTTGTCTTCTTGCTTCCGACCTGCCCTCGAATCTTGACCAGGCGGCACATCTGGGAGCTTTGTGGTTGGGTCAAGATCTCCAATCTGCTCTCGAGGCAAGAGATTGGTCTTGATGAGATTCGGTTCGTGGACCTCCGAGTACGCCTCGGTGGCGTCTCTACCAGCATATGCGTAGATTACTATGATTCTTGATGAGTTTTGGGTATCCTTTCTGGAGGCAAGTGACCTTACTTTCCGCTCCTCCTGGGTGCTCTGGTGCGAATCTTGTCATGTCGTACACCTTTCCCTCTACAACAATCCAGCAGTTGTCGCGTGTGGTATGTGACTGCACGGCAGCCGCCGAGACGGATTTGGTTGAGCTTGACATTCTTTTCTATCCTTGAAGCACGCTTCACGTGTAACAGCTCCCGTAATGTAACTCAAGAACGAAGGTTGACCGCTGGTAACAGGCTTCGGAGGGAATCCGATACTATTATCTCGAAATCTTCTCCAACTCGGTGGTGATTCTTCCCCCGCATCTTTGCTATCCTCGGACCAGACGCCGTGAACGGAGGCTAGCGAATGACCATTCGCACCAGGGTAATCCGAGTGAACAGGGGTCCGGGGATTGGTCGGTGTACCTTCGCACGCCCTCTTCAGGCTGAAGTAGCCTCAGTGGCTTCCTGTGGTTAGCGTGTGATTTTGACAGAGAGCAACACACTTTGATGTTCGCAAAACCCGGAGAAGTAGAGGGATAAAAACCCGAACCTCCCAACACAAAACATCCTACTGACCCATATAACTTACCAGAGGATGCATTTTTTCTTTATGCCGGAACAGACGGAAGTAGTGACTTGTAAGGCTGACCTTTGAGAGAGGCCGTGCGATTAAGAACTGAGTATTAAAGGACCGAGGAGGACGCAATAACGTTACTCTGGACTCGTACAGTGCCTAGTCTTGGTGCTGGTGTCTCCTAACTAGCCGCATCGTTCTGTGTCTGACGAACTGCTCGAGGTGATGCGTGACGACACTGTGTGCAAGGACCTTTGACAGCCTTCATTGGAGGGCAGGTATCTAGTGCTGAGGTTTGCGTTGCCAAATCTTGAACTCAGGGTCTGCATCAATAGGACACCACCAAGGTGATAGATGAAATAGTTATGATCGACACAAGCTGCGACAACGAGATGGAGGGAGCCAGACTTTCAAACAGGGCGGCTTAGGGCTAGTGCCTAGGCAGTGCTAGGTCAAAGCTAGCGAACAGCCCAAGGCCTCCACTTTGGCCAGACTGCCTAGCTAGGCTCGTTCCCCGGCGCCGTTGGTACCATTGGCCGCCTAGTGATGACAGGGCCCAGGTCCGGGCTACCTGTTCCCGAGTGCGCGTTCCCCAGATTTTGGGGGGGTTTCTTTTGCTGGCGATGGTGATTTTCGACGGTGAACCCCCGTCATCGAACACTCTCCGCTCGCTCTGTGCATCTCCCCTTCGGCATCCTACAACATCCCCCTCTAACGTTGGCGCCTCATCTGTTCACCTATTCCAATATTTCACCACAGTAGCGACATTGTACCTGTCAATAAGCCTCAAATCTATCTATCTTCCTTCTACATGAGACTGCAAGGGAAATGGCCATCCGCCCGACAGAAATCCTACCTTCCTCGGGGTAACTGCGGTCAACGACCCTCGATGCTCAATCGGGTTTGCGAGATATTAACTTCTGACCAAGATTTCCCTGGATACAATGGTTCGATATACCTAAATTCCCCAGAAAGATACGGCATCTACTGACTGAGGCTCTGAATAGTCCGCTCCCAAGGCTTCACGAACGCTCCGCTGCCCCAATTGTGACCTCGTCGTCGCCCGGCCGAGTCACCTCGCCCGTCATGTACAATCGCATCTCCATCCTTCCCAGCGGGAGCACTTCACTTGCGACCAGTGTGGCCGCCAATTTTCACGGAACGACGTCCTGCTCCGACATCTTCGTACTGCCCATCAAGCAACCATATCTCGAAAGCGGTCTGCGCAAAAGTCATGTTTTCGCTGTGTCAAGAAGAAGTTGAAGTGTGACCGTTCGCAGCCGTGTCTACCTTGCAAAAAAGCAGGATCATTCTGCAAACATCCGACAGATGACGAAACTATGGAGCGTGGGATTACAGAGGGCAAAATCGAGTCGCCCACTCCATCCAGCCAACTCCCAGAGCAGCAAGTATGTCAGGATGCCTCGTTCCCCGGTACACAGGACTATCGGGACGAGGCAGAAACCCGTCTAGAGATTGTCAATGGAACTTCGGATCTGGTCAGTAATACTGCTCAGAGACCAAGCAATGGTCGAGTTTTCAACGGCAACACGTCTTTTTTCCATCCTACCCCAGAGGGAAATCCGATGGATATGATCTCCCCGGACCTCGTGTCTTTTCCGAATACCAGCCCAGATGGCGGAGCCGAGTTCAACCATTCCATGATGGGATTCGAGGGCTTTCTGCCAGGCGACTTCAACTTCATGTCTTACGATCCTGCCCCGAGGATTGGCGGTGGTGTGGACTGGCTCAATCTCGACCTTGACTCTCCCGGTACTGGCGAACTTCAAGCTCACTATCAGAGTGGAGCTTTTGGGCAACCGATGTATTTTCAACCATCGATCCCGCTTGACCTGCAAGAGCCGCTGCAAAACAGAAGCCACCAAGCCATATCTGCACAACTAATGCCAATTCGACACCAAGAATCCAAAAACCTTTCGACCAAGTCGTCCGAGTCGCGAGCCACCTCTCAGCAATGGCCCTTTGACCACACACGGAACCCTGAATCTCAGCGATACAGACTGCCTCCTTTACGAGACATTTTACAAGGCACTGTTGCCTCTAGTGAAACTAACAATGGGACCACTATCAGAAGTCTGATTCAGCTGCTGTCGTCACCATACTTACCAGAGCAAGATCTCTCTCACGACCCGAGCATGAAATCTGCAATGGAGCTGCTGAAAAATTCCTTAGATTTGTACTTTGCAGAGTTCCACAACATTTTGCCTCTTGTACACGTTGCCACCTTTCAGATGACCAAAGTCCCTACCGTCACACTGGCCGCCATGGCTTGTATTGGAGCCATGTACTCGGACGACCAACAGGGGACAGAGCAGTCGTGGTCTTTGAGTGAAATGTGCGGCCAAATGATTGCATGGCTGGTAAGTTTTAGACCTCGAAGCGATGCAGATGCGAGTGACTAATTTATTGGATCAAGGGCGTGGGAGATAGCACTCGCTTTTACAATGCGCCGTATCTCATTGCTTGCTGCCTTCACCAGATCTATTCTCTTGGCTCTGGGAATATGAGGCTTTACGCAAACGCAGATTGCTCGAGGGGCATATTGATGGGTTGCCTCCGCGGGATGGGTCTGTTAAAGTCCCGTATCAGCACCGAGGTTGAGTGGGAAGATTTCAAAAGCCCCCTGCCCAACGAGAATGCAGCAACCGAGTGGCTGAGATGGAAAGACCAGGAGCAAGAAAAGCGCATTGCTTGGTCTTCTTTCGAGTACGACTGCACTTTGTGCACCTTAACCGCGCGACGAGGTGCTGCTGACTTACAAGAACTACCGTCTTTTCTGCCCTGCACTGAGCCTTTGTGGGATGCGAGATCCCCTCAAGCCTGGGCAGCTCTTTACTCACGCCTTACCCCGACCGCCCGAGGAGCATCGACCGCGAAAATACTTCGAAATCTTCTGGCTGGAAAAGGTATCCCTGAGGATCTACCGGCGTGGGGAAAGAGGCTGTGCGCACAGAGCATTGGCCGGCTTCTTTGGGACATCAAGCAATTGGATATCATGGCGACCACCGAGTACCTGAAACTCCCTTCTCTGGCTGCGGCTCAGAGACAGACTAAAAGCACTCTACTGCAAGGACTCAATGCGCTTTGTGAATCCATGTATTCTCTAACTTCTACCGCCGATCTCATCCACTACAAGTAAGTCCTGCTGGTTCTCGAGAACGTGAAGCTGTGTTTAACCAGATTGTTACAGTCTTACCGCGCTTATCTGTCATTACTCTCACTTATATAGCGCGGACGAGGCTATGGATCTCATTGTCCATATCTTCCGCTCTTCTGCCTCGCAGTCGAAACAACTCGATCAGAGCCTTGTGTCGGCTAAGCGACGCCTACGCTCGATACTTGTGAAGAATCCCACAAAAGCTCGTAATCTAGCGTGGCACGCAGCTCAGATCATTGCCGTGGCAAACGAATACCTAGTCTCTGCGCCTTGTGAGATTATGCGGACGTTCATGGGCTACATCTTCATCCTTGCCTTTGCCAAATTCGGACCTCAGCCCTGCTCAGACCCTGGTTACGCCTCATGCCCTGTTCGGCTCGATTTGCCAAATCGGATTGATGGCCAACGGACCGCAATTGCGACCTGGATCGAAAACGGAGGGCCCGCAAGCATTGGTGCTGTTGAGAACATCTACACGAGTGGCAGTCTCGAAGCGATCAGCCACGAAGCTCAAGCCATGCTACGGAAAATGCGCTTCTGGAAGCTCTCCAACAAGTTCAGCCGAATCCTTGAGAGCTTTGACTTTGAGAGTGATTAGACAATTCCGCCAAACAAGCAGATGGTGAACCGTCACCATTACTCTACATCCACAATTGAGTGCCTGCAAAGTGGACTTTCAGACCGTGTTGAAGGGTTCCGCCTGTCTGGACTCCGAACCCCAACCTTCACCAAGTGTTCGTGACGGAGTGGTACACACCCAGCGCGGATCTGGGGGCGGGGTCATCACGGACTTGACACCGTAAGCTTGCAACACACTGAATGGAACAACGACTTTCATCACTTACTCTAAGGCAATGAATGGTCTTATGGACTCAGTGTGCCGCTTGCCACAACGATGGCCACAATGATCTTGCGGGACGTCCGAACTCCGAAAGTAAACCGAAGAGTGGAGATGAAGCGAAAACTATCATTTTGAACAGGTGGGCGCTCGACGAACAATGGGGCATGCCACCACAAACCACGGTTGTGCGTTGTGATTCGACTGTGAATTCGGAGAAATTCATCGTGGAACTTTATCCCCCAACTTTGGTGCAAGTGGTGGAAACGATCCAATCTACCGGTTCAATTTCGAGGACCCCGCGTTTCTGGATCTCTGTTCTGTGCATCAGCGTTCAGAATCGATATCGCCCAGTGCTCATCTCTGTCCCAGCAGACTAGATCTAACTAGACGTGAGGAGAAGATCCTTGTTGGCCTCGACTACATCTCACCATGGGCTCACTTCAAAATGAGGCTCACGACGAGGATCCTCAGGTACACCCCCTCCACTTGACGCCATACGATGCTCTGCCGAACAAGAAGCAAGTATGGCCAGGCGAGCCTAACACGAGAGAGGAGGGGCTGGGTCGCCTTGTGCTCCTCACACCAGATGTCGTCGCCTCTGCTGCAGCGACAAGCATTCGAAGCGGGCGGCGTGTGAATCTTGGGTGGGAGTTGAACAAGCTGGAAATCGCCAACTTTGGCCGAGTACCCTGCAGGCACGAGATTGTCGGCATTCTCGGCGGCGCTGCTTTTGACGACGTCTACACGTTCAATCCACAACAGAGCAGTCAATGGGACGGGCTCAGGCATTTCTCCCAACCAGCTCCGACCGAGTCTGAGCCAGAGAGGAGGGTGTTTTACGGTGGTGTGACCAGTCAGGAAATCATGGATCTAACGAATCACCGGATTGGGCTGCAGTATTGGGCGAAGGAGGGTATCTGCGGACGAGGGGTGCTGTTGGACTATGTCTCATACGCAGAAAAGAGAGGCATTGACTACTCGACGTTCAGCGACCACTCGGTCCCCCTCAGCGTACTACTCGAGATCGCTCAAGAGGAGAATGTGACGTTCAAACGTGGTGACATCCTTTTCGTGCGCATGGGTGTGACTAAAGAATGGGACACGCGCATGACTTCAGAGGACAAGAATGCCTATGCTACGACCAAGACACCTCAGCATGCCGGCGTCGAAGGCACCGAGGAAATGCTACGCTGGTTGTGGGACACAGGCTTCTCTGCGGTGGCGGGTGACGCGATATCATTTGAAGTCTACCCTGCTAAGAAGAGTTATCCACGCGGTGAAGGAGAGCCTGAGGTGGAAGGAGTCTTTATGCACGAATACTTGCTTGCTGGATGGGGCATGCCGATTGGCGAGCTCTTTGATCTCGAGGCGTTGAGTGCGATGTGCATCAGGGAGCAACGTTGGGAGTTTTTCGTCGCGAGCGCCCCATTCAACATGCCTGGGGGCGTCAGCAGTCCGCCAAATTGCATAGCCATCTTCTGAGCAGCCGGTTCTTCGTGGAGGCTGAACGGCATAGAGATGACGGCGCGAGCCGATCATGCCCGGGTTCTTGCGTCGCGAAGAAGTAGGTGTTGTTTCAGTCCATTATCACGAGCTAGACGTTTCTACGATCATGTGCTTGAGCGAGCAAATGCGGAAGATTCCAAAGACAAGGAAACACTCCTTTCCGCTAGTGTATATGTATTGTGTGTGTGGGTGGATGTGCGTGTACACAGTGTAAAGGGCGCTAATATGTCAGATTCGAAAGAGGATGCAGACCCAAGAGATGTATCGAGTTTATTACATACACCACGCAAGTCGAGAGCGGAACTGGATGCGATACCTGGTACACAGATAGTCGTGGTTGTTCCTCGACCAATCCATATGGATCAATCGACTAATATATTCATTGATTCGCATTCGCATTCGCATTCGCATTCGTATTTATAAGAATTATTCTTTCTCTCTCCCCGGATCGACGACTTCTACTATTTCTTGTACTTCTCCTCCTCCTCCTCCTTGTCTCCAGTGCTGCGGCTTGCAGGCCAACTCCTCCCTCCTTCGTTTTTTCGAGGGTGTCGTCGTTATCTACTTTATTTACAAAAACGTAAAACTAGAATCAATTATTTGCAATTTCTCCGTGTCTCGTAGTCCGTTTGTGTACCGGATCACGTGCGTAGGTGCGTACGAGGTACATAGGTATACGCGGACGCAGGGACAAACACCTTGGTATGCTAGGCTAGGTAGGCAGGCGGCGAGGACCTACAGTACATACATGGTCATAGCCAAGTACATAAAAAGTAGGTGGATGGGTTGACTGTTGAATCTTCAGACCTTCTCCGAGGCCTCTTCCTGAATCTCCGTGGTGGCGGGGGAGGTCGAGTCGTCGGCACCACCGACCACGGTGGCCGGCGAGTGGACAATGTCCTTTGACTTGAGGAAGTCGTCGAGCTCGCGGCGCTGCTCGTCGCTGATGTCGTTGACGTGGACGGCGACGTCGTCGCCAAACTGCTTGGAGATCTCCTCGAGCGAGAGCCGCGCCGTCTCGGGCCAGAAGAAGTAGATCATGGGCAGGTAGACGATGGTCCAGCACACAATCACCAGGTAGTACTTCCAGCCGATGGTGACGAAGCCGATGGGCGCCGTCTGCAGCAGGATCAGCGTCGCCGCGAACTGCCCAAACAGCGAAAAGCCCATCCCGATCGGCCGGATCTCGGTCGGGAAGATTTCGCTCACGTACAGGTACATGGTCGTGTCGCAGAAGGTGCCCTGGAAGGTTAGGTACAGGAACACGATGAACACGCCGCCCGCGTTGCCGCCCTTGTCCGTCGTGCCCGCGTACGTCGCAAGCAAAGCGCACAGGATCGACGTCGTCACCAGGCATCCCGCCGTGCCGAACAGGTACATGAACCGTCGCGAGTTGACCTTGTCGTGGAGCCACGCGCCCAGGGGGTTGTAGATGACACCTGTTACATTAGAGTTAGTGCAAGTCGCACAAGGGTTATTGACGCGGGCAATGCTTACCGGCTGTGGTGAGCCAGACCGCCGAGAGGAGCAGAGGCATGGATCCCGTCTGCCCGAGGTTCGTGTACAGAATAACCATGTAGTTGTTCTAGGACCCGTGTCAGCAACCTGATCGCAAACAGATTAGTGACTTCAGAGGGACGTACGATGACCAGCACACCGGCAAACTCGGCTCCCCACTGCGTCAAGAAGCCGATAATCATTCTCTTGCGGTAGCTCTTCTTCTTGATGCAAGCCATCCACGGACCGTACCCCACCGCCCTGAGTTTCGCGGCGTCCAGAGCGATCTGTTCTTTGGTCTGATACAGCTCCTCCTTCGCGACGAGATCGTCCGGGTCGTCCGGTGATCGGCGCAGGGCCCGAATGACGGTCCAGGCCTCTTCGATCCTGCCCTTCTGGAGGAGCCATCTCGGCGACTTGGGGATCCAGATTGACGTGATTCCCAACACCAACGGTGGAAGAGTCTGGACACACAAGGGAAACCTCCACGCGAAAGACGGGTTCTTGTCCGTGGCAAAATAACACGCGTACCCAAGCCATCCGGAGAGCATGTATCCAAACACCAAAAAGATAGCGTGATGGCCGACCAGCCAGCCACGATTCTCAGGAGGTGCCAGCTCAGACAAGTACATGGGGCATGCAGTTACGAGGATCCCAATGCCCAGTCCAGATATGACCCGGCCAACGTGGAACATGCTGTTACAGATGTCAGCGCCGTTGTGGAGGGCTCGATAGTGTATGAGGAGCATCAACAACTTACGCCAGCGCCGCCGCACCACCTTGAAATGCACCTCCGATGATGGCCAAGAGAGCTCCGAGTTGAATACTTCTTTTGCGGCCAATGGCAGTAGCTGACCAAGCAATAAACAGAGATCCGACTGCTCCGCCTGCACTGTATAAACCGTTCGCCGTCGCAATTGCATCTGTGGTCTTTCCGCCATAACCTGGCTCCCCTTGCATGGGGAGGTCGAAGAATTGATACCATCCTGGCTGGCCAATGGTGCTCCCGATGATGGCCGAACAGTAGCCATATGTCTGATAGAGTCAGTATCTTTCTCCTAGGAGTAATACAGAAGCGTTGATGGAAGCCTTGTGACAGCGACTTACCATAGAACCGAAAGCAACGGCCACTGTTACTAGTCTGTTGTACAGACTCGAGTGAGACGAGACGTGTCTCTTTGTAGCCCCCATGATGGTCGACGCGGCTGGCTAGGAAGAGCCAAGCAGGTATCACTCGATGGAAGACGAAACAGTCCTGAAGAAGAACGGTTTAGGGGAAGGAGAGACAATCCGAGTGATCGGTCCAGAGGAGGGCACGGGGTTAATGTGGTTCGCGGTGGCCAGCAACGGCCATGGCTGGTGGTGAGTGAGTAATATCTGGAGACGGTCTTCGCGAGACCCTGAAGGGCCACCCTTCTTTTTCCTGCGGGGTTCCTGGGGCTGGGGAGCACCTTAGGCGTCGGGGAACGAAGTTAGCCTTCCCGCCCTGGATAATCTCTCCATCGTCCAGCAGCGATGTTGGAGATGCGAGACCGCCAGAAGAGTGCGGGACTCAATTCCCGGCGATTCAGACCAATTGAGAAGACACGCAAAGTTGCCACGGCCATCATTTACCTCGGACCACAGAAGACGGCAGTGGGTGTAGCACGAGAGAGGTTCTTGACGAATCCTGAGGGCGGGCTGGCAAGTGCTGGCTACTGAGGAAGTGTCGGGAGGGACCACAACAATCTCCGGCGACATTTCGAGGCAAGAAAACCCCGTCGAGGCTTGTGGGCCTTGTCTCGCCCAAGCGCCTGGGCGAAAAGAATCTTGGAATCAAGCGAGCGGAGCGTGCCCTGCAGGTCGCCTTTTGCAGAATGACTCGTACAGAGTGGGTAGCCCATTTTTGGAGCCAAAATCGATGATAAGAAGCAAAGACCATCCCCGTCCCAGGTGACAATCCACCAAGGATTCTGGGGCATGCACGTTGGGACACTGCCTCGCTGGTAGTGGACTGCACGGTCAACGCCAGGTCTGTGAGCGGGACGATCAGCAGCGCCAGTCAGCAAATGGTTCTCTCATTGTCCTTAGGTAGAAGTGGTCCACAGAAGCAGCAGGCATGAGGCGGGACGGCGCGGTGCCTAAAGGTTCCGTCCAGGCATGTGTAGCATGCTAGGGTACCTAGCGGGAAGCGCTGGTATTGCTAGTGAGACAGGGGAGGTTGCGTAAAAGTCAGCGCGAGGCAGGATAACTGCCAGTAGCCAGCCACATGTCGGTACATATATCCTGCCTGGTTATGAACATCGGGAGACATAAAAGATGCGAGTTGTTGAAGTTGAAGTGGTCGATGAAGCTTGGAAAACTCTGCCCGCAAAATCCTTGATCCGCTTAAAGCAGCAACAACAGTAACAGCAATAACTGCACCAGCAAAAACAGCAACGAATGGCCACATGCCAACTTCATTCATTCCTCCTGCCACTTCTCACCAAGGACTAGGAGCAGCTGCACTGCTTCCAGACCGAAAGATGTAAGGATGCTACGACTGCAGGAAATGCGCATCTTGCTTATCTGGACACCTGCTGTTTCTTGTACCTTCCGAACTGCAGATCCTCACATCCAGTGCCGCTATCCTTGACGCAGCTCGCTAAGGTATCAGCGCAAGCGTCCACGACAAGGCAAGGCGTGCCATTGACAGAGCGCGATATAGATCAGCTCAAGACTGCACAACGGTTTTTTTCAGGGCAGGTCTATGTCATTAGTGGCGACCTCTATCAGACGCATGAGGCCCGGTCAACACAGAAGGATCCTGAAGCATCCTCCTCCAGAGAACGTTGCCATATTGGGCTCACAGCCAGTTCCGCTAATAACAATCATGCAGCCTCTCTTCTCAACATGTCTCCTCGCCCTTGGATCTGGAGACTCGAGCGCGCTCTTTCATGACATACCTTCTTGTAAACCCATCATCCTGCACCCTGCACCATTTGTTGACGAGGATTTGTATGAGAGAGTCTAACATGCTTTTTGGTTCATCGGATTCTAGCTTTCCCTCTATTAATCTAGTGACTCTGTCATCCGAAAAGTGGCTGAGTTATCTTTTCAAGTCCTTTTCAACATCCTTCAATACCTCGATTAACCTATCAAGACAAACCGTCAACACCACACCACGTCAAGGAAACAATCGCAATATCATACCTTTCTAACCCCATGCTCAGTTCCTCTCTCGGTGTCGCAAACGTTATCCTAAAATTGCCGTTCTTCTCACTGGCGAAACTCGCCCCCATGGCCAACCACACGCCGCCGTGGGCCATTTTCCAATTCAGCTCCAGCTCGGCCTCGACGCTGTCCTCTCTGAGATAGCGACTCAGGTCGACCCAGATGAAACTCGTCACGCTCGCCTTGGTGTAGGGAATGTCGTGCTGTCTCAGAAACGCGGTGGTGAACTCGTAAGCGTCCGTCATCCTCTGCTGGAGCAGCGGGAAGTACGTGTCCAGAAAGGGCCGGTCGTTGAGGAGATTCAGCCAGGCGTGCTCGGCGAGCTGGGAGGCGCGGCTGAAACTCGCCACGGCGCGGAAACACCGCATCACGGTGCCGTTGGCGGCGGGCGAGATCAGCGCGCCCACGCGGATCCCGTTGGCGCAAAAGTCCTTGCTCATGCCGTAGATGACGTGCACCAGCGACGGGTCGATGTACTCGGCCAGGTTGAACGAGAGCACCGACACAAAGGGCGCCGGGTTGGGGATGTCGGTGCTGGGGAAGTTGGAGCGTGCGTAGACCTCGTCCGAGATCAGGTGGATGTTGTGCTTGGCGCAGAGCTGCATGATGCCCGTGAGGAAGTCGTTCTCGTACGGTCTCCCCAGCGGGTTGTGCGGACTGGACAGGAGGATGGCCCTGATGGGTACGCCGGCGGCGTTTGATCGGTGTAGAGCAGCTTCGTAGAAGGGCACCGCCGCGGCGGAGGTGGGGTCCGTACCAGGGCCAAAGGGTACGAGGACGGGCTTGACTCTGAGAAAGTCCTCAAACTCATGCGTGCCATGGTCAGCTTCTGACCGCACGGACGAGATCCTCAGTGCGTGACGGCGTGTTTGCTCCAAATCGAAAAGGATTCATGACAGAAATACACGAAACACACCAGGAAGTACGGCTAGATATAAAGAAGAATGATGCGAGATGTGAGGGAGATGGAAAACGTACTTTGCCCTGGCCTCGATATCCGGGAAAAATCCCACATAGAGCGGCCTGCCCACGAGGATGCCGTCGCCCGGCTCCCCGAGACAGAAAGCCAGATTATCCACGGCGTTGCCCGCGCCGAGACAGACGCAGACGTTCTTCTCGTCGATACCCATGCTGGGGCGGAACACGTCGCGCACGAACGCCGCCAGCGCCCTGCGCAGCTCGAGCGACCCCGTCGGCCCCTGCCCGTAGGTCAAGTGCCACGGCGTGATGGCCGTGTGGGCGTTGATGTGCGCGCAGATCTCATCGCGCATCAGCTTGTTCTCGGCGATGGCCAGCGCGACGATGCCGTCCGGGTTGGTTTCCGGGTCGTACTGGTTGTGGAAGCAGTGCGAGCGGACGGCGTGGAGGTTTGGTGTGGGCGGGACCAGGTTGGAGAGTGCCCGCTGCGAGACGTAGTAGCCCTTCTCTGGCATCTTCTGGTCCTTTCCCCCCCTTTCTGTGGACGAGGACTCGGGTCTGGGAGACGGGGAAGTAGAGAAGGTCGCGGGGTGGATGGAGGGATGGAAATGAGATGATGATTTGATGGAAGCGGTCCTCCCACGAGGAACAAGGACAGGGAGTCGTTTGTACATGTATCATGGATTGTAGCCCTGGCTGAATATTTCCGTGATTGAGAGAGATGTTTTGTTGACGTTGATTGATGGGGAGAATATGCACTAGATCCCATGAATCCGTCTGGACAGCCAATAAGAAGTAGAGATGTTGCGTCTAGTCAGATGTAGCTACATGTACCTCGTATATCTTCAACCTCATCGCAATTTATGAGCCTCGATCATCCACCTGCACAAGGTGACAGATGTCATCTATCACGGAATTTGCACCTTGCTTGATCTCACTCCACTTCCTCCTCGCCGTATGTCCGTGTCGTAGGATGAGGATAGCGAATGCAGTTGGCATGTAACTTTATTTAGGAAAAGCACACTATCTCTTACCCGAATATGCTGTCCCTCGTTTCCCCCCCCCCCCCCCCCATCATGTTGACTTTGTAAATGGCGAAATCAATAACAAAAAGAAATCATCCAATAAGGCTGGATACAAAGGGTATGTATGCACAACCTAAAATGCGTAACTTGACATGAGACATACTACTTTCTAGGAATCTTCCCATCCTAGCGAATCAACACAAAGCGAGCAACTCTTTGACAGTGTGCTTCTCGATACTATTGACCACGTCGCGGATGGCCTTGGCCTTATCCTCGCCCGACACCGGGTTCACCAGGCTGAAGAACTTGGCGTCGACCTGCTCGCGGGTGAACGGGTGCTGCAGCTCGCCGAGGGGATAGGGGATGTCGATCTCTGCGACCTCGCCGTTCGCGTACTCGACTTTGAGCTTGGAACCGAACTCCTTGATGGAGGAGTCGCCGACGCAGGTGATCTTGTCCGACAGCTCGCGGATCTGCGGGTCGGCGAGGCGGTCCTTTTCGTAGCAGCGCACGCCGTTGTCGGAGCCGTACAGGAAGCTGTTGGCCGTGGTGAAGTAGGCCGAGAACTGCGCGTCGACCATGTTCTCCGGGTGGATTTTGTTGGGGATCGGGGCGCCGACCACGCTCACGTTGGCCGGGCTCAGCGACAGCGTGATGCTCTTGACGTCCTGCGCCTTGGAGCAGCCCTTGTCGCGGCCCAGCTTCACCGCGTGCTCGATGAAGCCGTGCGTCATGCGGCACGCCGGGAACGGCTTCAGCGACGTCTCGAGGAACTCCCACCTCTTGCCCAGATCCGCCGTCAGGTACACCAGGTCCTTGTCCGGCTTGGGGCTGTACGCGTGCAGGAACCCAAAGGTGCCCTCGAAGATCTTGGCCGCGCCGATGACCCCTGCCTCGGCCAGTGCCACGCTCATAAACGCATCGTGCACCGCGAAGCCCGGGTGGAGGCGTTTGTTCCAGCTCCCGTTCTCGAGGTATTGCATCGACCCGGCGGCCTTGGATCCGGCCAGGCCGAATGCGTTCTCGACAACCTCGACCGAGAGGCCCTTGAGGACCGCGATTGTCGCAACAGCGCCGAAGATGCCCGCGGTCGCGGTGTTGTGGAAGCCGCGCGAGTAGGCGTCGTTGCCGAGCTCCTTGCCCAGGCGACAAGTGATTTCGTACCCGACAGCAACGGCCAGCAGGAAGAGGTCCATGCTCGCCTTGTCGCCCAGCAGTTCCGCCTGGGTCAGTCCCGCCCCGATGGCCGTGACGCCGGCATGCAGCGTGCCCTTGGCATAGGTGTCGTCAAAGTCCAGCGAATGGCCCAGCGTGGCGTTGAGCAGGCCCGCGTACTGCGGCGTGAAGGATTTGCCCTTGCCCAGAACCGTGCAGGAGCCGTTGTCCTGGCCGCCGAGGGCCTTGACGGCCGCGCAGAACGGCAGCGTCGACTCGGACGACTGGCTCGCCGCGAGGGTCACGCCGATAAAGTCGAGAATGTACTCCTTGAGCCGATCCCGGATGTGCGGGGTCAGGTCTTTGGTGCTCGCGTTGGCGACGAAGCTCGAGAAGATGCTGGTGACGGGGATGTCGCCCGGCTTCTGTGCGGCATGGCCGTTGACGGCTGTGTTGGAGGCAGGCATGGCGAGCCCGAGGGGAGGAGAGGGGTGGTGGTGATGGTGTGAGAGAAAAGGAGAGGAGAGGATATGTCGAGACGGGTGCAAAATTTCAGTCCTCCAAACTCACTTTGTTATAAAATGTAATATTCTCCAGGGTCCGAAGTACCGATGCAGTAGAGAGATAGGGTGAATTTCTATAGCCTCGCGGTACTCGTGGATAGCGTGGTAACTCGTTCGAAGAGAATAGAGATGGGAATGGACAATGTTAGATTCCGTCCTGTAGGTAATCAATCAACCCTCACACTCTCTTGCTTTCTTTCTTACCCTCTCTGTCGGTCTGTTACTTACTACCCACACACTTACGACCTTCTTATCCCAGTCCGAGCCCGCTCCCCACATCTCCCGTTACCGAGAACCCCCTCATTCACCATCACCTGGTTTTTTCGAGGCGGGCGTCCCGTTTTTCGCCTCGGGAAAGGGCAGATTTCGTTTCGTTGGAGAAGAAAGAAGAGGCCGAGGTCGGGCCGTGCGCGTCTCGAAAAAATGGCTCCCGAGAAACTGGGCCGATCTCGGAGTTTGCGACATCTCGGAATCGGTTGGTGCGGTTTACGCACAAAGTACAAGTACGAGTGTTTCGCTATGGGCACATGTTACTTGGTGCATGCTCCTGGTTGGGAGGCAACAAAGGTTTCTCGTATTGTGTGATCGCAGGCCCGCATTCTCGAGAACCTACTTACATCCGCTTGAGATCCTAGCAAAAATACGGCAAGAGTACGGGCTTCCACTAGGGTTCCTTATGTGACACTCGCTCCTGCCATCGCCTTGTCCTCCAACCATGGTTATGGACAATGTATTATCATCCCCCTCAACAACCGCAGCATATCTCATTGGACAGGAAAGAAAGAGAGCAAAGCTAGCCAACCGCCAAATCACTGCGTCGTGGCATAGTCTGCAAGTGCCGTTTGATTGTAAAACAAGTCACAGGCGTGCGGGTGCTGGAGACAATATTTGGGTACCAGAGGCGTTGCTTGGACACCGTTGGCAACCAGATACTCGCGGAAGTTCAGGATGCGCTGCGACATCTGAGTCGTCCGCTTGATGCCAGTGACGGGGTCCCTGTTGCCGGACCACGAGAGCTCTGCCATGGCGGCTGCCCTCGGCCACATCTTGGAGGAGATGACTGTGTCGTCGACCTGCTCCGACCACAGAGGGACTTCTGTACCTAGAACGTGGCTCTTCTGAGCGTCGGTGAGATTCAGCGTGAAGTCATAGTCGTATATCCGCTGCCAGGTCTTGTACGGTGCGCACCACGAGCCTCCATTGCCCCCGTAGTTGAAGGTCGGCACCGAAGCATTGGGGTTGGCCATCTCATTGTATCGCGGATCGTTGGTTACCCAGCCACCGAACCCACAGTCAAGGTAGAAAAAGTCGGAAGACGACACCACAACATCATAGCCTAGAGCAGTCAGGTTATGGATGTTCTCCAGGCCGTTGTTCCACGCTTGCATGATGATGTTCTTCGGGACCGTGTGCGCGTGCGGGTAGGCGTTGAGCACAACATCTTCCCACATCATCAGCGTCTTGTTCGATACCGAAGTGAAGAGTGGAACGGCGGTGTCGACCCAGATCTGCAGAAGATCATTGTGCGTGCGCGAGGAGTTTTGGGCAAAGTATTGTTGTACCAGAGTGCTGAAGTTGTAGCAGCCCGTTTGGATCTCGTCAGCACCGACGTGGAAGATGTTGTCGGTGAACAAGCTCGAGAGCTCAGCGTAGACATTTTTGATGACTTCATATGTCTTGTTGTTGAGGATGTCGAGTTGTCCAGGGTTTGGCTCGACCGCAGTATGGAGTGCGAAGACGTCGTTTGACCACCAGGAGTTTGCGCACGCAATAATGCTTGGATCAACCTCCGTCCATCCGGATGATGCGTGGCCTGGCATATCAATTTCAGGGATGACACGAACGCCGCGAGCTCGGGCATAAGCAATGATGGACCGAATGTCGTCCTGTGAGTAGATCAACTGGGAAGAATAGGCACCCTTGGTCATTTGAGGATAGCTCGCCATCTGGAGAGGCCACGATTGAGCGTCCACCAAATGCCAGTGAAGCACATTCAACTTTGAGAGCGCCATGCCGTCAATCTGCTCGTAAATCTTGGGGATTCCAATGAAGTTCCGGCCACTGTCAATCATGACTCCCCGATATGGGTAGTTTGGAAAGTCGACAATCGAGACTGGTTGCTCGATCATCAGACCGCCATGGCCATCGGAGATGATGATTTGCTGGAGGGTGGTGAATGCATGAAGGGCCCCCCATACTGTTTGCGCCGTGATATTGACAGATTGTGAGGCTGGGGTTATGTCGATGGTGTATGATTCATCCACTCCTTGTTGTAGATCAGGTTGGGTATCGGCAATAGTAAGGTCAATCTGACTGAGGAACGAATTCCAACGTTTCACCCTGGACGAGGGCGTCGCGGTTGGAAAGGGCTCGAAAGTGCTGATCGGGGCTTCCACAGCGACGGGAACCCATTTCAAAGTGCTGATGGTGTTCCATGCTCGCGTCCATGCATCATTGACGACTTGATTGTATGGCGAGTTCAGTACCAAGTACCCGGCCAAAGGTTTCGGTCCCGAAGTGCCCCAGCTTATATTCTGAGGCGCCGGGAGAGGGTTGGCGGCAATGGCATCTACCAAGCCATTCAGAAGGCTGACAACGAGTGTCGTCACTGGAAAGAGGAGACGAGAATGCATCTCGTACCTTGAGCACTGGAGAGAGAATTGAAGCCCGTCAACGGTTCACTTGACAGAGTGGAGGGATCAAGACTATTATGTCTTTGGACGACTGAGGTAACGCAGTCTGAAGCTCCTTGCAGCCTGTCCAGTCACCGCATGTTCAGGTGACACAACATCTGCAACGTTCCGTAGACATGGTGAGTGACCTTGCAAAGGAGCCCATGGACAAGACATTGAGGTTGTGATTGCGATAGAGTGATATGTTCTCTGATGTAACTATAGAAGCCATCCACGCATTTGGAGAGTTGTGCTCTACCATGTTAGTGATGGGCACCATGGGAATTGCGACCGTGACATTTGATAGATGGTGGCTAGTGAAGCCGTGTCCATGTAGCCAAATGTGGCTGGTAAGGCTGGGATTTGGATCACTGCGGGGGAATCCATCCGAAAGCTCTCGATGCTACCTTAGCATTGGGACGCTACAGCCACCTTCCTTTATCAGTCACTATCTGAAGTGTGTGAGAGATACGGGCTGGTATCGGCCTCGGCAATCTCCCAAATGGCTGATCAAACCAGCCTTATCCTATTTCATGACGGTGAGCGAGGTGGGAGGACGACTTCAAAATGTCGCCGGTGAGATGAATCCTCCAGCTACTACCATGCCATGGCTAGGAACACATTTCGCAGCCTGGCTTGTGGAAATGACTGCCATCCTCCCCCTGGGAACGTTATAGTGTGATATCTCAGAGTATACCCCCAGCTAGTCAATAGCTCACTGTACACGATATCTTTCATGAGTTGTGTACATAAGTCACCGGACTGCGACATGGTTCGTGGGGACACATCTATAGCAGGCAGCTCAACAATTTACCAGCCATGCCTGTCCAGGTCGACCAATGCAATCTTTCATGTGCCAGAAGCGACCGGAGGTTTTCCGAGACATTCATTGTGATCCAGGCGCCATGAGATTATCAGGTCGTCAGGGTACCAGGAATGTCGCTTAGCTTCTGGTTGTTCGGGACTAAGGGGGGAGGTGACAACGGAGGTGTCGTCATGGCCATCGCAGACCCTGTGGAACAAGCCGGTCGAATTGCTTGAGATGAGAGTTCCGATATCAAGTGACAAGAAATCATGATCTGGCAATGTCCAAGATTCGCAGCTGAAGATTGGGGAAGAGACTAATTCATTTGTGGACTAGTCTCTTGGCAGTCAGATGTTGGGGACCTTCATCAGAACAAATATCGATCACCAACTTTGCTGGGCCAGAAGCATGGAGCAAGGTCGGCCTTTCTGTTGTCGTCGGACGGTAGCAACTGTACGGTGATAGCGATGAGCTCAACTTTCCGTGTCAAGCGCAGAAGCCGGGGACGAATAACAAATTCTGCAAATGGGTGACGAGAACCACCGCGCCCTTGCGCCCAGCGACGAGGCGCAATATGACGATTCAAGACCTGCAAAGAGGCAGCGCAACTTTATTGCCCGACAAGCCTGCGAAGCGTGTCGCCTCAAAAAGACAAGATGTGACGAGGATATGCCTTGTAGTCTGTGCAAAAGCCTGGGGATCGAGTGCACCTACGCAGAACGTAAACCGACAAAGTGGGTCACAGCCTTAGATGCGCTGACCAGAAGCTGACCGGAATGCAACAGAAATGAAATCTCGATGAGCATGATATTCAATACTCTAAGGCGCATGGAGTCGAAGATTGACCACATGTCCGGCCCAGCATCAGCAAAATCGGTTCATGAGCTCGAGGCTAGCAGGGGAGGCGATTCTAATCTACCACATCATGAGAGCCCTTATCATATGGATTCAGTGGTCTCCCATCAATCTTTTCCTTCCCCATTGTCAAGTACGAAGCAATTGCCCCGACTGTTGAACTCCCAGTCTGCAGTTCTATCATTTAGTGCCCGTCGAACGATCCACTGGCCAGGGGTGCAGGCTCTACTCCCCAGCAGTCTGACTTCCGAGGTTCGAAAGCTGGAGGGAAGCTATCCTACTCATCTGGAATCAGCGCGACCATCCCTTGAACCCGTTATCTCGGCGCAAGGTGCGTTGTCGACGCTTGATTGGCTCGCCTCCCTCAGCCTGTCTTCCGTCAAGGACCTGTCGAATGCTTATTTCGACACCTTCAACCGGGTGTATCCATTCATCGACCGCGATTTCTACTTTCTCAGCACTCTTGCTGTTGTAGTTCGAGAGGGATTTGGCCACGACATAGAGTCGTGTCTCGTGCTGAATGTCATGGCTCTGGGGTGTATGGCCATAAAAGCATACGAAGAAGGCGGATTCGAGATATCAAATCAAGCCTCGATAACCCCAGTCATGCGACACATCATTGAAGAAGATATCGCCGGCCTAAGCTTTTTCAACGAAGCCCGGAGGCGAGTCGGCTTCTGCCTCTCTGAGCGAGACATTCAGGCTTGCCAGTATTACCTGACATCGGCCGTGTTCTTTGCACAAACTATGCGTCCAGTGGATAAATGGCTGGAGACCAGTCGGGCGGCAATGATCTGCACTGCATACTGGAAATGCCCACCCGAAGCCACCGATGAGTGGCTAGCAGACATGCAAGCAAGGCTGTTCTGGTGCTCACTTATGATGGAGAGTCTTGTCGTTCAAGAGTTGGAGCTTCCACCAAGTGGTCTGAAAGCGTGGGAGGAGGACGTACCCCTCCCCAAATTTACCACATACCCTTATGCCAGCGGTTCACGCCCCCAATATTCGGACGACTCGTTCTACCACTATCATTTTCTAGCACAGATCGCCCACAGAATAATCCTCAACCGGATCAGGGACGAACTATTCTTCAGCAATCCCTCGACGAAAGTTGCAGAAGAGCTTCGCCACCAGCTGGAGCAATGGCGTGCCAACCTTCCTCAGGCGCTACGCTATGCCAGCGACCGAGAACAGCATGACTTTGACTGTCCGGCAGACGCAGTTGTCGTCGCCTTGCTCCAAATGCGTTACCGGGTGTCCATTTTCCATCTGGGCCGGCCATTCCTGTATAAAGCCATTCAAAATCCTGCGTCAGTCAACGACATCGAGCTCAAATTATGTGCAGAAGCACTCGAATATGCCATGGACTGGCACATGACCTTGGACGTCTGTGCAAGGATGCACAACTTTGAGCCCGTCAAATACTTTGCATGTGGCCAATTCTTTGGGCAGCTACTCATTTTCTACGCTTTCAAGAACTCACCTGATCGTCGACTGCGAGACACGCTCCCGTCGGGATACGAAGCCTGGTGCGCTAAGATGCTGGCCTTCATTTATGGTTTTGTTGATTCGAGTCCAACGATTGCCAAGGATCTGGAATTACTCTCCTCCTTGTACCAGATTCAAGACGGATAAGAAGTGGTGTGCTAGTGGCAAAAAACCTTGAAATTGTTGGCTTGAAGTTGGTCAAACGGACATTCAGTAACCCCCAACATTCATCAGCTCTGGAAAGTGGATTGACTTGTCGAAGGGCAGAGGAAGCCAGCTCCTTAACCTGCCGGCTGGAGTCTTCCTACGTGGATCAAAATGGTGACTGCATTCAAAAGCCTAATTTTGTATTCCAACCCTGTGGTGGGAGCAACCGCAATGCCCTGGGATGTCACGACGAAGCTGAATCGTACCATCACAGAAAGGAATCTTCACCTACACAGACTGTACATTAAGCTACGTTTTCCATTCAATTCACGGTCCCGGACAATGCCCAAAGTCTAAAAAACCCTCCGAGGATATTTGGACCTCGCGCAAAACGGCAAAAACTTATCACAGAACAGCTCAACCTACTGGTCTGTGATAAGGAAAACTCGCCCTTGCGGGTTGGTTTTTCTTCGGCCGGTTATACTACGAATTTTATACTACGTGGTTGATGTCGTCGAATCGATGGTCCTATTGCCTCTAACCGATGTTAGATTGCCCAGATAGGACCGAAATCTCGGAGGGAGGAGGAGGAGGAGGAGGAGGAGGATTCGATTCGAATCGAGGTCCTGATGCCCGCTAACCCGGAGTTAGTTTTGACCTGACAGGACCCAGATTATGTGGCGTGTTTGTGTTTTTTTTTTTTGCCAGAATTGGGACTCGAACTCTCGAACTCGGTGGATTCGCCCTTGTTGTGCTAAGGGGTATTTTGCGTGACAGAATTTGGACAGAGAAAACATTTATACATTTGATTTTTCTGTACCGGTACCTGTGGAACTCCCTCTGTTGGGGCTGGGGAGGCCTCAGGTCGAAGGGACTTGGCGATATACTTTCACTCAGGGAGTCTCAGCACGGTTCTATGAGCGTCCAGGCGCAAGGACGGCAGTGTGATACTGATCCTGGCTGGCTCTATCAACATGCCCTCCCGCCATACCGAGTACACGGCCCGAGACCACACAGTCGACATCGACCATCTGATCCCTGGTGTTGTTGCGACTGAGATCCTTGCTTTGCTCTATCAACACTGTCCTACGGGATGGGGTACATGCAGAGCCACCGGCTACTGCTTGAGAATGGTTTTTTGGCGGGACTCTGGGTGTCGTTATATCGGTCCTATTCGCCTATTCTAAGCCACTGGCACCGCAGATCCAGGCCTCCGCTGGAGGAGGGTCGGATTGCGGAGTATTGAGAGCTCAGGTTGGCGGCAGGTCAGGCCAAAAAGTAATAGTAGTAGTAGTAGTAGCATTTGTAGTAAGCAAGCCTCGTGACGAGGTTGTTATCATTCCAAAACCATAAACGCCCAGAACGCCATGCTCGCTCGACGATTTACTTTTTCTCTTTCTTTTCTGGGTGTAAATCCCCTATTGTACAAAATCTCTCATACCTCACTTTTCTGAATGTGTTATGTATCCCCTTCCTCCCTCCCTCTGCAGCTGCAGTGGTCACAGATCATGTGGAGGAGAAAAAGAGGCAAGACTGGAGAACCAAAAATGCACACAAAAGGCCTCTAGTTGAGAGTCTCTCAGGTGCTCAGCTTATCAGTCTCGCCGGCCTTGTCCTCTAGCTCTGGCTTTGCCTCTTTTGCCTCTGCTTCTTCCTTCGCAGCAATTTCCTCCAGCGCAGCAATAGCGTCCTCATCGTCCTCCCCCTCAAACTCATCCTGCTGCACGACTTTCTTTCCCTTGTTCGTCTCAGGCAAATCAGTTGCAGGCCCGGCATTTTTGGGTTCTTCCTTCTGTGTCTCGGTCACTTTTATCGGTTCCTGCAGAGCTGGCGCCTTAATGGGGTGCTGTTCTGGGGGTGGCAAGTTCAGATCCCAATTGATGGTCCCTTCCTTGCCGTAGCGTGTCTCGAGCCAGTCGTTGGTCTTTCTGAAATGCCCACAGTCGAAGAACCCCCTGCTCGCGCTGAGCGGCGAGGGGTGTACACTCTTCAGCACCAGGTGCCGAGCACCGGTGATGCGTTCGCAGCGCTTCTGCGCCGGCATGCCCCACGCCAGGAACACCACGCCGCGGGTCCGCAGCTTGACGACGGTGTCAATGACCTTTTGCGTGAATTTCTCCCAGCCGCGGCCTGCGTGCGAGTTGGCCTGGCCGGCGCGCACCGTCAGGCAGGTATTCAGGAGGAGCACGCCTTGGTCCGCCCAGGGGGTAAGGAGGCCGCCGTTCTTGGGTGGAGGGCTGAAGCTGGGGTATTCCTTTTTGATTGCAATGTAGATGTTCTTCAGGGACGGGGGTGCGGGCGTGGGTGGTCGCACAGAGAAACACAGTCCGTGAGCTTGGTTGTGGCCGTGGTAGGGATCTTGGCCGAGAATCACGACGCGGACTTTATGGAGGGGACAGTGTCGAGACCTAAGGGCGAGCATCGTCTCAGTTAGCTAGCTAGCTGGGACTTTGGGCAAGACGGTGACATATTACCAGCTATAGACATCCTCGAGCGGAGGATAGATCTTCTGCTTCGAATCGATCTCCTTCTGCAAGAACCGCTTCAGGTCCAGGAACCCTGGCGTCACAATCTCCTCTTTCAAGACAGCCAGCCAGCTGGGATCCAGCGTGTCGATCTCCAATTTGAGGAGCTTCCTCTGCTCGTCCGTGAGGCCTGCCACCCATTTGTCCTTGTCGAACTTTGGCGGTGGCGGATCGCTCGACGCAGCTGCGGAGGCGATGCCATTCTCGTGCGACGCCCCTCCGCTCTTCGGAGTAACCTTGGGAGGACCGAAGAAGGATGTCAAACTGCCGTTCTTCTTGGGCTTTTTCGCGTCATCGGGTGATGAGGTTGGTGGGTCTTTTCGTTTGTAGAACGACATCGCAGCGGAGGAGTTGTAATACTGTCTCGGGACGGGTTTGGGAGACGAGCTAGAAATCAATGAAGCGACACGACAAGACACGCGAGAACGAAGCATACACAGATTTGGTCAATGCGGATATAATTGCCCAGGATCGACGAGTTAGAAGTTGAATCTTCGAATACTGTACCTCGTACTTTGGTGAATAGGCAGCAACGCGCATTAAGCGAGCGAGAGTCGCGCCGCGCCGCGCCGTCAATTGACGCGTAAATTACAAGGTTCTTCAGCCTTGCTACCCCACGACGAGGCTGGCACGCTGGCTACTGAGGCCACTGGGGTGGACTGGTGTGGATGAGACATACGATCTGCTGTATCTGGGGACTAGAGAGTGGTATCGGCACGGTCATTAAAATGGTCCCCTATGATGCAAAGAATTTCTATCCATCGTTCAAGATACAGATCGCTGGCAATTTACTCGTGATGCCAGCTGAGAAGACTCCGTCCATAGGTATTGACTATCATCAAGCGGCGCCAGCCACCGGTTGGCCTTGTTGCATAACAAAAAAAGTTAGGTATCCCCCCATTTTGGTATATCGTCACCACCCCCGGTCGAGCCCCTCTCAGACCATTATGAACAATGTCAAGCAAAATAAAAAAATTGGGAATCGTCAAAGAAAAGTTGATACACGAGTCGCAAGTAGGCTGCAGCCGTCCAAGGCTAGTCCAGCATGATGACCTCTTGTTTCTGTGCGGCGTTGGCGGTTGCTTTGTGGTTTGGTGGCATCGGCCTTCCTCCAGGAATAGTGCCTGGTGGTCTTTGGACTTTGACATTAGCCCCATTGGGAATCGCACTGCCTGGTGCTTGCATCTTGCCTGCGGGGCCTTTCATTGCAGCAGACGGGCGACTATTGGTACCATTCGGCATATTGGCATTGTTTGCATTTGGGTGTCCTGGCCCAGCTTTGGTCTTGGTGAATGGCTGGGTGTTGGACACGTTGCTTTCGGACGCTTTTGCCATCTTAGCCCATTCCCACAAGTGGTCATGCATAGCCTGCAGCAAAGGCTCTGGCTGATCTGCCATACAGGCGGCAGCCTTGTCCAATGCAAGCCACTTTGACTGCCCGTCTGAACGCGTAAAGATTTCCTGCTTGAGTTTCGCCCCCAGCTCTGGTGTCGAATATGATGGCCTAGAGTAGGATTGAAACTCTTCAAGCGCGGCGCGTACCAGCCACATTGGTTTCCTTGACACGTTAATATGGTGCAAAATCTCCAGACGCGCTAGCATATGTGGTTGGGAATCGGCTTTGACATCTTTTGGCGCTTGTCCGGCGGGTGCGAAGTATTGTATCGCAAAGGCGGTCGCGCTCCTCACAAGGATATGCACTCGCAGGTGATCTTCTTGCTCGGGCGGGCCCTTTTGCTGTTGTGCGTCGAGGTTCAGTCCATGTTTCTGCTGAAGTTTTTGAAGATAGGTTAACAGTGGAAGTGTCAGAGTCAACGAGGTGAGGAAGTCGCGTATCCTGGTAGCAAACGGCCCACGGCTTGCGGCAATCAATTTCGTGTACTGTGCTGCCAGGAACTGATGTGGATTCTGCTCGGACGGGAAGAATTCGAGTTGCGGTTCTTGATTGCCGCTTGGAAATCCGATCCTGAGTTCTAGTTCGGCAGATGCTTCTTTGTGATAAGCTATGGTAAAACTGGAATTTGATATCGTTTTCAGTCTCAGTCCTGGGAGTCGATGGATCTGCTCGACTGTCGAGACCACCTTTTCAACGTCCATAGCCTTGTCGACAATCTTTGGAATTGCAGCTTCCGCTATACTGGTAGTGACCCGAAGTACAACGGTCTTGTCGTCGGGATTGAGAGAGACGCCTGCATCGAGTACAGATTTCTCCAGGCGTCTAAGCACCGAAGAACTGGCTTGATGGTGATACTGGGCGACAGCCCTGACTTTATTCGTGGATCGGTCAACTCCACCGAAACAGACTTTGATGCCTTTTTGTGAAGCGGGAGAATTGGGAGGGTTTTTGGCCACTTGCAACAGGGTGTTGCTGGAAGCAGCGAGAGGTATGGATTGCTTTGAAAAACTCGGCCTAGCCATATCCAAGTCAAATGATATCTGCGGCAATTCATAATGCCGTCCAAAGGTTGGCAAAGGTCGTAGATCAAACTTCTCCTTCCTTTCCCTGAAGAAGTCGGCATTGCGCTCCAGGAAGATCAGCCCCATCAGGTATTCTGCAAGTCGATCGAAATAAGCAGAAGACAGTTCTTCTTTAACCTCTAGCCGCTGCTTGCGAAGAACTCTATAACGAGTTTGGGGATTGGTGGTGCCAGGGGAAGCTTGCTGCAGCAACCACCAATGGTCGCCATCCGGGGCGTGTGTGATTGCGAGGGTATAGTCCAGTGTCCACAGACTCTGTCGGAGCATGTTCATCCTCGACACTGGACCTCCAAACAATGCTCTCGCCTCTGTTTGACTGAGCTTGAAAGAACGCAGCACCTCCCAACAGGTGCCCAAAATACCGACAAGGACATTGGTTTCCATGATGCTGCACCTGTAGTTGAGGAGCTTGGACACGACGTCATCGGTGACGCCTTGGACCCGGTTCGCCTCATACTGAAGTCGTTCCGTTCTCTCTGTAACGGGGCTGAGAACAAGTAGTCCTGTCACAGGATCGATTTTCAGCTGCAAATCCGAGGAGTGCGAGAGTTCCAACGTTAGGAGACAATTTTCCGGTTGCTCAAATGAGAGCGATTGCTCCAAGAAGAGCTCGCTGTTGGCAAACAGAGGTGTGAGAATGAGTTTATCGTAAATATTGTCCAGAATCTGTGTTGTATGTTGTGCGATCACCTGTCGGAGAACGTCTTCGAAACAAAGCAGCGCATCATTCAGGTGTAGTTGCAGGGCGTCTATTCTTTTGCCTTGTCGCATCCATTTGATCTCGAGAAAAGGGCTAGATTCCACCTTGGTCATTTTCTGCTTCTCCCGACCGCTAGCGATGCCGATCTCAATCCAGCTTTTCCCTAGTTGTCTCTCAGGCCAATACTGCACGATGAGGTTTCGGCGAATCAACTCGACGCGTAGGTTGCCTGCCCACTGGTTTCGAGCTAAGTCGAGTGCTTGTTTGTGGAGTTCGGCTAATTTGTAAGACAAAGCCAGCTCATGTAGAAAGTCGTAACAGCCTTTCAGCCCGTCTCGATCGATGTTGGCATTGGCGTATAATTCTATCTCCGAATGTAAACTGTCGGAGATATGAGGGTGTGGTTGGAACGAGAACCGAAAATCAACCATGCGGAATGGAGAGTCTTCTCTTTCGCCTAGTATGGAGACATCCAGTTCGAACTCATTGGGCACAATGAAAGTAGCACGTCCATCATGAATCCGAAAACGTCGCAATTGAGGGGGTAAGTCGTCCGAAAGTGCTAGCTTGACGCTCAACGCTCGGTCGAGCGAGCGGAGGACTCGCAGTATCTGTCTGCTAGAGAGGTCTTTTTGCGGTATATAGTTCAATCGGGGGAGATTGAGCACCCTACCTCTTGACAGGACTTCGGCTGCTGTTTTGAGGTCGGGATTTGGTATCTGAAACCCTGAAGATTCCTGCTTGAGAAGGGCCATCGATCCAATAGCATTCCAGTATGCTTCTCGGCGTTTCATAAGCCAGTAATTGATTGAAATGGTCTTGCTCACTTCCTCCACATTCTTGCTCCATTGCAGCAATACTAGAAGCTTTATAAAATCCGCCTTTTGATCATTGGAGAACTTCAGTATTCGGTCCTTCTTGTCGAGGTTTGCCTTTGACTGATTGTTAGGCAAGCCGTTAGGTAGAAGTTTTGTTTGTTCTGGTGGCAGATCCTGGACAGGCATTGAAGCCAACTGCGTCACCAAATCAGAGAGGCAGTTCCAGCATGATTGTGAAGCCCGATTTATCAGGGCGGCCATCGGCAGGTAACTGTCTTGAGAGATAAGCTGTAGGATCTCAGACGGCGCTTCTTCGGATTGGAGGGAAGCATTGTTGCCTCTGTTGTCGGAAGCGCGCTGACTTGGTTCGACATCTCCATTTTCGCAGGCATGAGTATTGTCAACAGAGGGCTGCAGCGGATTCTGAGACAATGATGCTTGTTTTAATCCAACTTCGGGCGTGGAATCCGGGACAGATGGTCCAGAGTCATTTGCGATTCGGTCCCCGTTGGCCGTGGGCCTTTCGCCGTTCATATTGAAGCGGAATCAACCATCAAGCAATGCATGGCCGGCACACCTGTATGTGCGCCCTAGACGCCGAATCGAAACCCGAAATTGTAAGTCACTGTAATTGTCCCCACGCCCCGAAATTCAAGCGCCCAAGTGTGGTCGGCTCGATCGCAATCAAAGAAGTCTGGTTCGTGGGGACTGTAGTACACTAGTCTTGGTCGACAGCGCTCTCAGCGCTAAAGTGGTGAGGGTGATCGAGAGTCAGGAATGAAAGGAAGGATGAGGAGAGGAGTGACGAATTCGAGGCTGCAGATTGTCCGTTTGCAGAAGAGGAATTTTGTCGACGATTGGAGCGGCGCACGAGGTCAGCTTGCGATGTCGTATCGAGCGCGCAACCCGAAACTCTTGGGTAGAAGATTAAATGACTTATTGACCGCGTCAGAACGGGGAGCAACTGATTTGTGATTGAGTTGTAAAGGGATGATTGAGGATGGAATGATGTTTGAATGAATGATGAGACCCGCGCGGAAGTCGGCTGTCAAAGGATCAGGCACAACACTGGTTCCCCGTACGGAGCACTCGGTCAAAGGCTGGCCTGCGCCAAGTTGCACGAAAGCCGGCGCCAAACAGTAGAGCGCGTGACGCAGATTGCGATTGGACCGCGCCTAAGGCGTCAAGGCTGGGCGACAGGGCAGCAGGATGTTTAATCGAAAGCGGATTAGTGCATTCCGTAACATTTCGCAAAGGAGGGGGGACAGCCTCAGTGGCCCCGATACTTAAGATAGATACTCTAGCAGGGAAGGTTTGCACGGAGTATCTACACTAACATGGCTACTCCAGTTAGTTCGCACTGGGATGAGCCACTGGGTATACGCCACACTACTTGGTACATGCTACATTACACAATCCGCGAAATCACTGTGGCTTCAAAAAAGAAAAGCGAACGGAGAAAGATTCTTCTGCTGCAGCCATGTTTGATGCGTACGTGTACACCATACCATGAGATAGCCTTACTCGGAGATCAGGGGATTAGATATGTGACAAGAATGTGACAACGCTGCGGCCAGATGTGTCCAGTGCACCACCCTCCCAAGGCCGTGTTGCGGAAGAAGTCTATGAGACACTTTTGATTGGCTCTGTGGCTCGATTCTGTGGACGTGGGTGATGGTAGGCTCGCTGTCCACCTGTACGCCATCCTATGCGCGCCATCCCTTGGCTGGAAGCAAGCCATTGGAGAAGGTGGTGCTCCCGCAGGTCCCTGGTAGGCTGAACACCCCAGAGCGATGCCAGAATAATGCAAGATCACCACCTTCTAGCCCCCCTAGTGGTAGTCAACAGACTCTCAGTGGTCATGAGATAAGTCTCCATGGTGGCAGTCTTTTGATATGCTTTCGGAGGAGTTTGAGGTGCTAGTTGCGCCAAACCAGAGATATGGACAGATATCGACTGGCCCAAACAGAGCCCAGAGCCCATCCTGATCAAATAAGAGACTCGCGCATCCCACTGGCGGTGGATCGTCTCTTTGAAGCATCGATCAACGCTGCTCCTGCGTTCTAACACCGCATCTTCACGCTCTGGTCTAAGCTGACCCGCAAGTTTCTCGTGTGCAGACGCCAAAGATAAAGGCTCCACGGCCCTCCGCAACGACTGATGGTTCTCTTCTTCTGTTCTGATCTGTAAGATGGCGGAAGCATTTGGGAGTTCAGGAGGATCCGATAGTGTAGAGAAGGTGGACAAATAGTCAGATGGTGGAGCTTTAGGGGAGAGTCCCTTAAAGGAAAACATGGTGAGTTCCCTTGCGCCAATCACCAAACCTAGAAGGCCCTCGGCAGGCCTACAGACCACCCTGAACTGTCATCATCATTTCAACCATCAAATGTCAGGACCTTGTCTCGCAATCCTCTATTCTCACGTTCCTTAACCTCTAGCATTATCTTGTCTCATCGTTACAACAGGTTCCTCGCCATGATCCTCTCTCTGCTGCCTCCCGTCAGCGACCGCCTCTGTCCCGCCAGTCGTCCCATCAGTCACAAATCAGCTTGATTTCCCCGACACCTTCCGTAGAAGCGGATGACGAGCGAGAGTCCTCGTGGGGATACTCAGATTCCGACATGGGCGACTTCGCAGAACCAGAAGGGGAGATTAGGTATTTGGACGAAGATACGAGGCCGACAAGCGAGAAAGAGTTATGGGGTTGGTACTCGTATGGTTGGGCCGCAGAGGTCTTTGCCATCTGTGCCATGGGTGAGCATGACACCTTGGAAACATTTGTGTTGCCCTTTGGCATTGACCTTAGTCTACAGGGTCGTTTTTACCCATTACCCTCGAGCAACTAGCCAGAGAGCGGGGAGTACTGTTAAAAGATAAGACAACACCCTGCAGCGCAGGCTGGAAAACGGACCATGGCACATCGCCGAACGAAACCGTCTTCGATTCTCCCAAACACCCGCACAATGAGCTTCCTGCATGTGTCGTCTACATCCTGGGCGCCGAGATCAACACTGCCAGTTTTGCCATGTACACCTTCTCAATCAGCGTGCTGATCCAAGCTCTCCTGATCATCTCTATGTCTGCAGCAGCCGATCACGGCAGGTTTCGGAAGACATTCCTTCTCGCCTTCGCCTTTACTGGAGCGACAGCTACTGCCCTCTTCATCACCGTCATACCAAAGGTCTATTTGCTGGGAGCGCTCTTCGCCATCATTGCCAACACATGCTTTGGGGCGTCATTTGTGTTGCTGAATTCTTTCTTGCCCTTGCTGGTACGACACCACCCGTCTATCGAGCGTGAAAATGAAGAGAACCAGGCAACGGGCGATAATGACGAATATATGGAACAAGAAGACCACGCTCTGACGAGCTCGACCTCAGGCCTCCTACCTCAAGGCCGCGCCGACGATGCCTCGCCCTCCGAAGAATCGCCTGCCGCGATCTCGCCTGCCCTCAGGCTATCCACCAAAATATCGTCAAATGGCATTGGCATTGGATATATTGCTGGCTTATTTGTGCAAATTATTGGTATCGGCATAGTGGCCGCAACAAAATCCACACTCCTATCCTTGAGACTGGTTCTCCTGCTGGTGGGACTATGGTGGTTTGTGTTCAGCATTCCAGCAGCGCTTTGGTTGCGACCACGACCAGGGCCGCCTCTACCAAGTGAGTTGACAGGCCGCTACGCGTGGGTGTCATACGTGACATATGCTTGGAAAGCTCTATTCACAACAATTGGACACGCCAGAAAACTGAAGGATATCGTGATTTTTCTTTGCGCCTGGTTTTTGCTCAGCGACAGCATTGCCACGGTGAGCGGGTAAGTTGTTGAACCCTTACCAGGTCACGAAGAATACACTGCTAAGAGAATACAGGACAGCAGTGCTCTTCGCCAAAACGAGTCTTGGAATGAACACCCCAGCCCTTGGCTTGATCAACGTTATTGCAACGATTGCGGGCGTTATTGGCGCATTTTACTGGAGCTTTATCTCTCGGATTTTCAACCTTCGCGCATCTAGGACGATTGTCGCGTGCATCTGCTTGTTTGAGATCATTCCGTTGTATGGGCTCTTGGGGTTTATTCCTGCCATCAAACGATACGGCGTCTTTGGCCTGCAGCAGCCATGGGAGATGTATCCATTGGGGGCAATTTACGGGTTCGTTCTTGGTGGGTTATCGTCGTATTGCCGGGCGTTCTTTGGCGAATTGATCCCGCCTGGGTTTGAGGCCGCATTCTACGCCCTGTACGCAATCACAGACAAAGGGTCCAGCATCTTTGGTCCGGCCATTGTTGGCGCCATCACGGATCGATACGGCGAGATCCGACCTGCATTTGTCTTTTTGGCAGTACTGATCTTCCTCCCGCTGCCTTTGATGTTGTTGGTCGATGTTGATCGAGGAAAGGCTGAAGCGTATCAAATGGCATTGGAGCTCGAAGGACACCGCAAAGCAAGAGATGACACTAGATATACGACGATACCCACGATAGTGCTCTCGGAGGAGGAAGATTGAGCTTAGCACTTGCAAGAGCGTGGCTCGAGGTGATCGCGATGTGTGGCTTAGATACCCGGAACCCTGGAGGAATTCCAGATGATCATCATTGCTTAGAAATACCAGGCAGCATACGCCTTGCTAATGTGGCTGTCTTTTTGCTTTCTGTGTTGCATAGAAAGTCCGTCCAATCAGACTCTCCACGCATTTGAGATCGACATCGGCTTTCCAAACGCAATTGCAGGGCCGTTGGTGATTTTTTATTAAGGTGAATGCTTGGTGGGCACTGATACCAAGCGTCCCTCACGGAAAGCCTATCGCCGCTGTGTAAAATGGGAGAAGGTGGCTTGGGTGGAAAGGGACCCCTGATTATCAACTCCGCGTTTCAGGGTCAACGAGTCGGCGGAAAGGGGGCGGCAGCTGAAAGGCGAAAGCCGTGTGGAGTTGTTGGTGAAGCCCCCAAAAAAGTAGTTGACACCTCTCCTCAATGAAGGGAGAGCGGCTGTATTATTCACTCTATCAGAAACTGTGCCTTGAGAATAAAGGGTTCAGTGTCCCCTTGACTTCTCAGAAACCTTGAATCTGAATCATCTGTCCGATCTTTCCATTCCTTCGTGTCTCCCCAAACCGTCCACGATCACTCTATTCCCCACTGCACACCCGGCTCTAATAGTTCTCCCATCATGCGATCAATCGCATCTCTGGCTGCGATCAGCCTTGCCTTTGCTGGCCTTTCCTCAGCAAGCGACGTCCATGATCTGAAGACAGACAATTTCAAAGATTTCATCTCCGAACATGACTTGGTCCTGGCCGAGTTCTTTGCTCCATGGTGCGGCCACTGCAAAGCTCTGGCACCCGAGTATGAAGAGGCGGCAGCCACACTGAAAGAGAAGAACATCCCTCTTGTGAAAGTCGATTGCACGGCTGAGGGTGATCTGTGTAAGGACTATGGCGTCGAGGGCTATCCTACCGTCAAGGTCTTCCGGGGCTTGGACAACATCAAGCCTTATCCTGGTGCCAGGAAGGCGCCTGCGTAAGTCACAACTCATTCATCAATCCTGAAGAGATGTACGCGACTAACGGGTGAACAGTATTGTCTCATATATGACCAAGCAGCAACTACCTGCCATCTCCACCCTCAGTCCTGATACCCTCGAGGAGTTCAAGACTACAGACAAAGTCGTTATCGTCGCGTACATTGCAGCCGACGACAAAGCATCAAACCAGACATTTACTTCTCTCGCCGAGTCGCTAAGGGATGAGTACATTTTCGGAGCCTCGAACGATGCCGCACTTGCCAAGGCAGAAGGCATCAAGCAACCTGCCATCGTGCTCTACAAGGATTTCGATGAGGGCAAAAATACATTCACCGAGTCGTTTGATGAGGAGGCCATTTCGAAATTCATCAAGACCGCCTCGACTCCTTTGGTCGGTGAAGTTGGCCCGGAAACCTATGCTGGCTACATGGGTGTATGTATTCCTTTGACCGTCACCATACCGTTGTACTAATGCGTTTGACAGGCCGGTATCCCTCTCGCCTACATCTTCGCTGAAACCCCGGAAGAACGATCGTCTCTGGCTGAAGCACTTAGGCCAGTCGCTGAGAAATACAAAGGTGTCATCAATTTCGCAACCATCGATGCTAAAGCATTCGGTGCTCATGCTGGCAACTTGAACCTGCCAACTGACAAATTCCCTTCCTTCGCCATCCAAGAGACAGTGAAGAATGAGAAATACCCATTCGCCGGTAACGACCTGAGCGAGAAACAGATTGGTGCTTTCGTCAAGGACTTTGTCAATGGCAAACTCGAACCCAGCATCAAATCCGAGCCCATTCCAGAGAAACAAGAAGGCCCTGTAACCGTCGTTGTTGCCCATTCGTACAAGGATATCGTCCTCGATGACTCCAAAGACGTGCTGATCGAGTTCTACGCTCCTTGGTGCGGACACTGCAAAGCGTAAGTTTTCATGCAGATTCAAATTACCGTGGCTAACGAGCTCTAGCCTTGCCCCAACTTATGAGAAGCTCGCAGAGCTCTACACCTCCGGCGAACTTTCCTCTAAGGTCACCGTCGCCAAGATCGATGCCACCCTCAACGACGTTCCCGATGAGATTGCTGGTTTCCCCACCATCAAGCTGTACCCTGCTGGTGCCAAGGACTCTCCTGTTGACTACTCGGGTTCCCGCACGATGGAAGACCTTGCGGCTTTTATCCGTGACAACGGCAAACATGGCGTTGATGGTATCGCCCTGTCGAAGAGTGACGAGGATGTCGATATGGAAGACGTTTCATCTACTGTCAGCGACACCTTGGCGAAGGCTGCTCCTGCGGCTACTACCGTGGCTGAAGAAGTCTCCTCGGGAGCTGCTGATGCTGTCAAGAGTGTAGTTAGTGAGGCAGCAGAGGCAGCCAAGACGATGCTCGCAGATACTGATGACGGTGGTGTCCAGGAGCATGATGAGCTGTAAACAGTCTCAGCGCTTCCTGCATTCCTGTGCCTTGAATTTCATGGGTTGCCTGCAATAAGGGCGAATGGAGTTTTAAGCTTACGACTATTTATTCCTTTCGGTATGTTACCCCGATGAAGATTCTGCGCTTCGGGTACAGCTGGGTTTCGAAGATTCACATCCAGCAACTGGTTTACTGGAGCTTTTCGATCGAGCAGAAAACGCGATGGCATCGACCAAGGATGCGAAGGATGAAACCAGTCAACATTGCACGTGGCCGAGATGAGGAACGAACGCAAAGTGGTCTTCTGTGAAAGAGCAAGGGGACAACTGGACTGCTCTCCGAGAATCCTGGTGATGGTGAATTAGATCTTTACTCCGTCCTTGGACGACTGATGAGACCAATTACCCATACGTACCGGATTTGGTCAAGAGTCATGAGCATATGCAGTCAGGTAGAATGAGAATTATGCCAAAACGGAAACACATTGTTTGCAATATTCTAGGACGTCGGAGCAACCGAGTGATAAAGTTATTGATGTCGAGTGGAGAGTCTCGTAGTAGTTGGTGATGTTCGTGGAATACTTCAAACAGTAATTTGCTAAAGTACGATTGGAGATATAACCACGTCCTCCCATACCGAAGGGCTCCGTGCGCCGTTCGCAGAACAAGCGGTTTATTTAGACTTGAATTTGTTCAAGGGTAGTGGGGGTGACAGACGAGGCACTTGAGCAACTAAGAAACAAAAGAGCAACACTAATCATTTTTTGCACCGTTTAGTACCGAGACAAATTCATCCTGCTGCGCTACCTATCTGCTGGGAGAATTGGCCTTTTCCAAGCAGAGGTAGTGAGTTTTTACCGGGCTAGTAGCACCGGTTTGCAGGGAGGACTATACTACCGGAATCCTCGAGGACGCTCTTTAAACAGTTAAAGATCATCCATGCCATGGTATTTTGTCGTGCTCCTAGCAAAGGCTGCGAGTTGTGCCGGAAACGCAAGGTCAAGGTAAGTTATTACGACCTATTCACAATGTTTGATTTATTGAGACCGGCTTAATTTGGCCAGTGCGACGAAGGGAGACCAGGATGCCTCAAGTGCGCGAGATTGAAGCAAAAATGTCCTGGTTACCGCAACCTCGATCAGGTCAGGATCAGAGATGAATCCGACAGGGTTGCTCGAAGATGCCGTCAAGAGGAAAATTCGAGCATGGTCTGGGCCTCATCACAGACTGCTATTGCGTCTTTACAGAACAATACGCCAGCTTCCAGGAAGGAATACCTCGCCATATCTCGCCAACAACCTGTGACCATTGCACGTTCACTATCGCCATCTAGTCATGATCTGGGAGCGAACTTCTTCTTCGTGAAGTACTCTCCCAAAGATTGTACTTTCAATAATCACCATGCTTGGTTGACCAAGTCCTACTTTGACCAAGGACCCAACAACGTGTTGAGGAAGGTGATTGAGGCAGTAGGCATGGCGGGACTGTCAAACGTCTTCGACGCTTCACACATCAAATCTCAGGCTCGAGCGCAGTATTCTGCAGCTCTGGCGTCCATGCAGAAAGCGTTACACGACCCAATCCAAGCCGTTTCGGACACGACGTTCATGGCTCTCATGTTGCTCGCGTTCTTCGAGGTAAGCTAGACTGCCACCTCGGTCCAACTGTCGGGAGGTCTCACTCACTTGCCTACAGACCATCAACTGCGAAGCCTTGGATAGGTGCCCCGAATGGGTTGCTCACATCAGAGCTGGCGCAGCTGTCCTAGAGCTCCGAGGCCAGGACCAATTCAGCAGTGAGCGTGGCGGGATGCTCTATGTCCAGTTTCGCTCGTACCTCGTGAGTAACTCTCTCAAGCTTCCGCCCTTCCCTCCTGCCAGGCGTGATCTATTGTCTGATTCCGTCCATAGCTTCTGGCCTGCATGCAGGAGAATGTTGCTGTCCCCAACGCTCTAGTCAAAGCAACCTTCAATTTTCAAACAGGCACCCTGAGACAAAATTGGCAGCGTGCAAACATCGCCAGCCCAGGATCTATCACCGAAATTTGTTTTCGACTGGCCAACCTTCGTGCAGCTATGAAAGACCAAGGGGCGATAGACCCCCAAGCAATTCGTGCAACTGCGCTAGAGATCGATGCAGATCTCGAGACGTGGAGAGCAGGCTTGCCCCCAAGTTGGAAATATACTACAGTCTCTATGTCTGACGCTGCTAATGACACCCACTTTGCTGGTAAGATGCATGTCTACCCGAATCTCTGGATCGCAGAGGCATGGAACTCATGGCGCGCCGCTCGAATCCTCGTCAACCAACTCATCTTGCAGAACGAGGCTTGTGTGCCCAATCCTGATAATGCGCTGACGGACCTGGCTCTTTCCACCATTCGCCAGCTATGCATCGACATTTGCATCTCAACGCATAGTTTCAGAGATTCTCCACGCAAGTATCCCCTTGGCTCACTTAATACAATTCCTCTGGCTAACTCCTTCTTTCAGGCATCATCTCATTCATGCACTCGCTTTTTCTCATAGCCCTCGAGGAAAGGAACGATCTATCCGTGTTTTCTTTCGCAGTGGAGCAACTCAGTCACATCAGTTCTACTATGGGTGTGCGGCAGGCGAGCTGTATGGCCGATGCCGCTTTGGCAAAACACCTCAGTTCATGTGGACGCGGACATCCAAAAGCTCTGTGGGCCGGTATCGGTGTGAAAGTACCGAGTACTTGTACATGATATTTTCATCCGTCACGCCCGGTGTCTCGACTTACCGGGTGTGCTGATTGGGGTCTCGCAATGGTCCCCTGTATCAGGCTTAGTGGAATGTCCAATAGCCTTGAAACTACACTGTGATTGGCTGGCCTCCCACCTCCACAGCCTTGCTCCTAAGTTGGCAGATAAATAACTCTGCATTCCCACCGACTCATATCTACCTCCGCTATGCTCGTTTCCGCTGGGGTTCAATACTGTGTGACTGCAGAGGCAGGATAAATCAGTTTCTCATTCTGCCTGTCAGTTCTGAGCAGGGCTACTCTCTCGAAACTTCAGCCCGAAAACAAGCAATCCGCACGACGGTATTTTTGCTGCCCGCAAGCACCATGGCCGCGCCACAATCAGCGTTTGCCCCCTTTCCAAAGGAGAAGACGTTCAGCTCCTATAACAAGGACCAGGGCAAAGCCTATGCCCAAGTTCGCCGCGATTACCATCCAAAGGTGTATCAAGCCGTCGTCGACTACCACTCCTCAACTGGGGGTGGTTTTGACACAGTTCTTGATGTCGGTTGCGGCCCTGGCCTTGCGGCTCGAGGGCTTGCACCTCATTTTGCTCACGTCCTGGGTCTGGATCCTTCCGAAGGCATGCTCGCTATCGCTCGCTCGATGGGTATCGTCTCGTCCACTTCTGAGCCTGCACGTTTTGAAATTTCCACGGCGGAGGAACTCGGAGCAAACCTGTCTCCAGCTGTTGCAGACTCTAGCGTCGACCTCATCACTGCCTCCAATGCCGCTCACTGGTTCGACATGTCGGGCTTCTGGCCCAGCGCTGCACGCGTCCTCAAGCCAGGAGGTACCGTTGCCATATGGACGAGTGGCAACATTCGTGCTCATCCGTCTATGCCCAATGCTGCTGCCATCCAGGCCGCTTTCGATGATCATCAAGAGCGTAACATGAAGCCCTACCTTGAGCCAGGCTCGCTCCTGGTGCGAGACCGTTATGTTGATCTCCCTCTTCCGTGGACTCTGGCTCAACCCGTTGCCGAGTTTGACCAAACGACGTTCGTCCGGCAGGAGTGGGATCCAAGTGAAGAGTTCTTTGTGGGACTACCTGAAGCAGATATGGACACGTTTGAGAAGATGATGGCGACAGGGAGTGCAGAGACGCGCTGGCGCCAGGCACACCCAGACGACGTTGGCACGGAGAGGGACGTGCTGAAAATCCTTCGCCAGAAGATTGAGCAGCTGTTGCACGAAGCAGGCGTGGAGAAAGGAAATGAGAAGATCAAGGCGGCCGTGTATGGTGTGCTGTTGTTAGTCAAGAAGAAGACGGCGGTATAGGGACTTGCCTGCAGGAGTCGATGTCACACATGGCTGAGCCTTAGGGGAAGATCATACGCAACATATCCTTTATCTGTTTCTCTTATTGCAGTGGGAGAACTGAATCCCGCACGTGTAATTGCCGATATGTCAAAAGACACGCTGTAAACAAAGAAGTAACAATGCACGTGCAAGGCTGAACTGTTGACTGGTCGAAGTCTGGAACTATTTAAATCGAATGACGTAGTGCGCGTGTCAGGTGACAGCAAAGAAAAATATCCAGTCACGTGTAGCGTGTCGCGGGGCGATATCTGCTTTCAGATCAGCCGCCGGCTCTGCCCCCACCAATTCCCTCACTTCATTAAAATCTAATACCCGAACAGCCCTTGGGATTCGATGCAAGTTGTTTGGGAGGCGGACACGGCGGCCTTCGCGAGCCGCAAGAGAGCCGCACGGGCATGTCAGAAATGTCGCGCCGCAAAGAAGCGCTGTCACCACACCTTTCAGCGCCCGCCAGAGCAGCAGGCAGATTCTGATGGGCTTGACAGGGTGCTGCCCAACCTGACACACAAAGAACCCATCCGCTTCGTGGGAGACCTGAACCCCGAATCCATCCTCACCGACTTGTCGTCGAGGAAGCAAGGCGGCCAGAGGATCAGTCGGATCGGCACCTGGGTCGAACAGTCTCGCGACTTACAAGATGGACTCCCTCCAGAGGACCTTGGCCCGCCCCAACCGCACAAGTCGGGCGACAAAACGCCACTCAATGTCGAGAAGTATGGCAGGGTCGAAGGTGGTCGAAGGATCCTGACCGGTCATCAACGAAATTACTTGCAAGCTGTGGGAGCCTTTCGAGTTCTGCCCAAGGCGACTCAGGACGCCCTGGTCACCACTTACATTGCATGCTTTGATGGACTGCTACCCATCCTGAACGGCATTAAACTGCTTCGGGACTATACCGAGGGACGGTGCTCGATATTCCTCATGCAGGCCATATGTCTTGTCACCTGCAAGACTGAGGAGGCCGCTCCATACCTCCGACTTTATGATGACGGACCACTTCTTGATCCCATCCCATTCGCCCGGAGTTTACATACGGGGTTGGATGCAGCAATGAAAGCTGACCTGGAACCTGATAGAGTCACCAAAGTCCAGATTCTGACATTGATGCATTTACATAATGATGGACCAGGTGGCATTGAAGAGTCCTCATTACATCTGTCGCAAGCAATTCACGATGCCTGGACTGCGGGTCTTCATGTCCACACACCAGGACGGTCCCCCAAAGACCAATCAAGCATGCTATGGTGGACCATCTGGACTCTCGACAAGATCAATGCCTGTCTTGGGGGGCGGCCAATTGTGATCGCAAATCGAGACATCGACATCGCACGTCCGCCTCTGGAAAACGGCGTTCCCAGAAGCAATGTAATCAATTTGTGGCTGAGATTGGGAGACCTTCTCGACGAGGTCATTGAATTTTACAGGCCAACCGCGGACCCGGAGTGTACAGGGTGGGAGGCTGAGTTCCCAGCCTATCGCTCGCTGACTGGGGGTATCGATTTGTCCTTACTTCCAGTCTCGGAACAAAGTGAGTCGGCTCTTCTCTTCATGATACTTCTTCTACGTCGGTCCTGACCTGCCATCGTTCTGTGTCGCTAACATTCTTCCCCAGGTATCCTCGAGCTCTGTTACCACGTCATCGCGATTCTCTCATGCCGCGCAGGTGGCCCTTCCACGACCTCCTATGCCCGCCGTATATCAGCGGCTGATCGGATCCAAGAACTCCTCGCTAACGGTCGTCACGCGTCTGTTCAACCTATTCCTCTGGTACCCTATGCGGTCGGCCTCGCACTGACAGTTGCATACCGCGGTCTCCGTGACAATGCATTTGAAGACACCGATCGTGCACAGGCCGATCTCGCTACGCGCTGTGAGACATTGGAGGCGCTGAGCATGTACTGGTGGACTGCAGACGCAATGGCCAGACTGGGCCGGAAGGCACTGAAGTCTCTGAAACAAACAGGAGTGAGGAAAGCTGACGTGACTGGGATCGTCAACGCAATGGAAGCAGAGGTCGCTGCGTGCAAGTTTGGGCCGTTTGAGGGTAAGGCTCATCGTGGAGGACACCATTCTCACAGTTCATCCACGCCCGCTGCGACGCTCAGAGGGTCTGCGACTACAACCCCGGCGATGACGAAATCCCTGTCTTCTGGCGGAGGCCCCGGAGGAAACGGATTACATGTCCTCTCCGATGCAGCAGCAACCCATTCAAACGGAACAGCCCCGACCCTAGCGTCACCATCCTCGGCCAGAAGTGGCGACAATAGCGTCAGCAACAAGAGCCATAGCAAGAGTCTTGGGAATACTCCTTTTGCTAGGGCTATGCTCAACGTCACACCAGCATCACCTTTGACCACGACATCCCCCAAAACATCTCTGTCGCAGCAATTCAACCACAGCTACGCCTCGGGATTCAGCCAAATCCCACCCATATCCGCCTTCCAGTACCAAAACTATAACAAAAGCACCCGCTTTCAAACATCAGCCCTGAACAACCCGCACCACAATGCCCTTGGTGGGATGTCTTCGACCGGTGCAAACTCCTTTGCGCTCGACGTACCATCCTCGTTTGGCCCGGGCATTTACGACCCGCAGTTTACGAACCTGGACGAGCTGTTCGACGGCTTCTTCGACCTCAGCATGCCCACCATCTTCCGGGACCCTCTCTTCGATGGCGACGCTTTCCTCAATGCCGACCTCGATTTCGGCATGGACCCCAGCATGGCTACTATCGAAGGCCTGGGCTATGCCACCGACGTGGGCGCCGGCTCTGCCATCGTCGGCGCTGCGTCTCCTTTACCTTTATCCGGAATCTCCGGCCCAACAGCTCCCCCAGCAGCCGCCTCGGCGACAACGCTCACCGGCACCGGGCCTGCACCGTCCAGCGACAACGCATCCTCGACAACTCCTCCCAAGCCGGCCACGAGCGCAGGCACGGACGCTAGTGCTGGGCTACATAATAGCACTCCACACAGTCCGGCGTATCCGGACATTGGCACACATTGATTTTTTTTGTCCGAGTTTGTGCATCCCAGTCAGTCGCTTTCAGCTTTGGATTTCTGGCTTCTCTTGATTGAGTACATCAGTAACGGAGTTTGGTGTTAGCCTGGAGTGTTTCAATCGAGGAGTACCAAGTTAGTCGGTGGCGCAACAGGTACAGACAGAGATAAAGAAAAACACACAGACAGATAAGATGATGATAAGCATTTGGCATATATACATATATTATGTTATCCCCGAACTATATTTCGCCCACCACTATTTTCATTCAGGAAAAGGAGCGAGGCCGCTCTAACCCGCCACGCGAGAGCGCATCGAGCAGGCCCAGCTAAACACGATTTCGTCGTTGAAGCAGACCAAAATATGCAGCAGCGTTGTTGAATATCACGACATCTGACCTTTTACTTCTGCTCTCTGCTTTCCGCACCCAGCCGGAACATACGTGCCAGAGCCTGCCATCATTGACTCGAGTATCCAAATCTGTGCAGAGGAGTCTTCGGACAAGCCCAGATTTAGAGCTCCGAGCGTCAGGAATAGATCTTCCACTTTTCTCTCCCGCGGATCGCTAGGCAAGAGGAGCGTCAGACCGGAAGTTGAACGTCATTACAGGGTCCACAAGATGTATCTTGTAAGCATGTTTGACACACGAGACAGGAGCGCCGGGATCAACGATGGCACGCCCGAGTGTTGACCACTGCCCAGTTCAAATCCCCAAAGCATCTTCGGCTTGTTATATCGCTAGGCCCAAAGCTTTGAAAGGGAATGCAAAACAATATGGGATAGAGAACACCCTGGAACGTCCGCCAGATCGGGCTCATTCTGCAAAGGGTCCGGAAGGGAAATTCTGTCTCCGGACACCGGGAACAAATTGATTCGAGCAACCACAGAAATCTTGATCCCTGATGCAGGCCGGTAAGGAACGAGAGAACTTAATAGTGCCTAAGCGGTCTTGATATCATGAGGCTCGCACGACAGTAATTTCGACACGGTGTACACGGTATATTCACCTTACACCACTACCATGCCGAATCGATCTGATCCTTACAAGATTGCCATTTTCGGCCCTGGGGACGTCGGATGTGTCGTGATCCGAGAGGCAGCGAGGCTTCCCGAGTTTCAGATCGTAGGGGCTCTTGTTTTCCAGGAAAAGAAAGACGGTGTCGACATCGGTACCCTTGCTGGGATTGCGGAATTGGGAGTGAAGGCCACTCGCGATCTTGATAAGTTTTTGGCCATACCGTGCGATGCGGTTGTCCATACGGCGCTCGACGCCCCATTCATCAACACATTGGAGGACTTCAAGAAACTTCTTGAGGCTGGAAAAAACGTGGTCACTTGTCATCCGTACAGCTACCTTCCCGCACGGTCGTCAGAGTTTGCGGAAACGATCAAGGCAGCAGCTCTCAAGGGCCAGGCCACTTTCTACGGTGGCGGTCTCAATCCTGACTTCATCACACAGCGCCTCGCGATACTCCTGACCGGCCTATCTAACGATGTGCAAAGGATCAAGATTGAGGAGTATTTTGACTGTGAAGATCAGACCAACACCGGTAATCTCCAGGTGATTGGTCTGGGGAGTGACCCTCAAAAGGTACAGGACGAGAATGGCTCTGCCATTTGGTACCAGAAGCACTTTTGGTTCCAGATGATCGAGCACATTGCCTATGAGCTCGGCGTCAAGATCGACAGAATAGAAGCCACGAGCAAATGTGCCCCGGCGCCAGAAGATATTGTGCGGCCCGCGATGACCATCAAGAAAGGCCAGACAGGAATCGTTTCCTACGAGTCGATCGGATACGTGAATGACAAGCCCTTCATCAGCATCTTGATCGGCTGGTATCAAAGTCCGATCATGAAGCCAGCACACGTCAAGTCCGAGACTGAGTGGATCCTGACTATCGAAGGACGACCTTCATCGCGCACTGTCCTAGACCTCAAGGCTTCTTTTGAGAGTGATG